ATGGTTCCACAGAAAACTAACGTGACACTAAAATTTAACTGAATTGTAAGACATAGTGATACAATTTAAATAAAAGGCACAATGAGTTTTGAGTTTGAACTTTAGTGCTTCAAGACCTTTTGGGTTTGAATTTAGTAAATTGTACTCTCTACTAAGGGCCGTTTATTTCCCAGTTTCAAGACCCGATACGTTCATATTTTTTAATTTGGAATTCTTGTCATTTTTAAAGGGCACGATTAGCTTGAATGTCGATGCGAGTTTCAAATTCAGACACATTCAAGTGAAAAGCCATATGAAAAAGTGGCGAAATGTACTAGAAAATTCCTTCAACTTCTTATTCTGTCAACATATTTAATGCCTGAATTCTCTACGGTAAGTTATTTATTGCATGCAAGGCTAAGCATTGGTATGCAGGTATGAGGACATGTAGGAGGGGTCTGTTCTTCGCATTAACTTCGCTTGTTCTTCATTTTATCCAACTCCACAGCTGCTAGAATCAACACAGCGATCAAAACGTCTGTAAAAGGTAATCTAAGTAGGGAAAAGAAAAACTCTCGACTTTTTGTACACAGCTTATTTGATTACATCTTTCCCGCTGATTTGGTATTTTCTTTTAAGCTTCACCAGAAAAGTTATACGGATATCAAACACCGCGACTCACTCGCTCATGTGGTTATTTGTTCATATGCCAATGTGGTTTGGACACCCTTAAACCACGTCACGAAGCTGGCCTCGTCGTAAGCCTGTGCGCCAGCTTCTACAACGTTCGCACATGCACAGACGTTTGATCGCTGTAAAATCCAAATTAATCCTTGAAACCCTTAGACAGACAAGCATTTAATTTCTCCCCACAGTAACACTGCTGAATCATTCACTAAGATCATGAGAATAAAGGAAATTATTTTCAAACTATGGAACTTTGATTGTTAAATTAATTCTCCTCGTCAGTACTAAAGAAAAGTAAAGAGAAGAGTATGGAGAATCTGGATACTGATGTTAGGGTTTAAGGGGTTAACATATTCACAAACCGCGATCACAAGCCAGTAATTCGCCGATCAATTCGAAGCTTCAACATCCCTCCTTCCCTGAATTAAGCGGTCACCCATGGGAAATGGTGACCGCTTTATACAGGTTGTTTGCTTTATTCAGGTTTAACTGTACCTATAAGAAAACAATGTCATAGACAGTCTCCATGTTTGAATTTGGTAAAAAAGAAAGTAGTCTCTCTTTTCTAGAAGTTTGTGAATATCAAATCCAACTTCTGTGTCTCGTCTCCTGTAACGATCAAAAGGGAGTCCTCGATCAGAAAAGCTTTTTTGTTGACTTAGAGAGAGGTTTCTTTTTTTGGTGGCATTTTTGGTTTTTTTTTTTTTTAATTTGTGTAAAAGATGAAAAATGACTAATCCCATTCTGTGTGGTTCTGTGTAGTTCACAAGCTCAATGTCCGAGATACTGATTCACCTCATTTATTTCCGGCTTCGCTCGTCTCGTGGTATTTTCCGCTGCAAAAGAGAAACAGGTACATATTTAACAATCCTCTTGTAAGCGATATCAAGTTTGCCTTTCCTAATCCCGAGAAGCGAATAATTCCAGCGCACAACTATGTCCCGCGTTCTTTGCTATGAGAGCTCCTTGAGAAGAAAGAAACGATAGATATAACTGAGCGCGACCCGGACATTTTTCTGCAATTTCTGCGCTACTTGTGCTGTGACGATGAAAGTTTCAAAAATGTTAACCAGGCCATCCATCTGTTGTATTTGGCTGATAAATACGATGTCCTTTCGCTCGTAACCAAGTGTGTAAATTTTGTTGACGGAGTTATGAATCCATTAAACGCCTTTGCCGTCATCCCTCATGCAAGGCGTTTTAGGCATCCTGGACTGGAGGATACTTGCTGGGAAGGGATCGATTACAACGCCAAAGATGTCGTTTTAAGTGCTTCGTTTCTCGAACTCGAACATGACCTCTTAGACCGTTTTGTCGAGTGATCATCGCTACGCATAGATCATGAAGTATCACCTTTCAGGGCTGTGGATAAATGGGCCCAAAGACGGTGTGAGGAGGAAAACATGGTTGTCAGTGGTTCCAGTAAAAAGTCCTTACTAGAAGAGCATCGGGTAAGGAATATTAGATTTTCACGGATTTTCAAGAGTTTTCAGACGTAGTGATTCCTTCAAAAATTTTGTCCTAGGAGGAGATCATCGATGTGTTTATACTTCGGTCTCCGTCCCCCATGACCTAAAGTTCTCGACTGTCCCAAGGGCAAAAAGTGATCCTAAGAGTATTTCATATCATTCATTGGGCGAAAAATTTCCCCAAAATCGAATCATATTCGACCGTAGCGAAAAGAAAATTGAATCAGTACAATGTATGCGGAAAAGCGGAGTGTTAACATTTATGGTAAATAAGCCTGTTATGTTGTATGGTGTAAACATAATTGTCGACAAAGTGAGAAGCAGTCGTTTCAGCCTGCCCGTCTTTCGGAAAGACGAAACGATCAAACAAATAAGCAGTAAAAGTTTTGTTACCAAGCCTTCCAGATCTGAAGAGTGTGGAGAAATTGAAGTTTTCTTTAACCGATCGCTTCCTTTGACCAAGGATACTTGCTACACAATTGAAACAAATATGGATGCAACAGAAAGACAAACTGTGTTTGTTTGGTCGGCCTCATTTCTGGAATCTTTACCGAAATCTGGGTTTCGTTCGTCGTCAAATTCAGTTTTCTGTTGTTGTTCTGGACGTTATACCGAAAGCGTACCAATGAATGTTGGCTACAAGCGAGAGATAATTCATCTTGTTTATAAAGTAATCAAATGATGCAGCGGACAAGCAGAACAAACGCTAGGACTCAATCTCCCATAAACTATATTAGTACTTTGTTTCTATGATTATCTTCATGAAAACAGCAGTTCATAGCGAACTCGAGGAGAAGAATATAGTATCTATCCTATGTAAAAAGTTGGCAGTGAAATATAAGTGTGTTGATTAATGTACGCGTTCACTATTCGATTTCCTCACTATTCAAAGAGTTTATTTATGGTACAATAAAAGGAATATGTTTCAACAAGAAAGATTGCAATTTCACCTGTTGTGAAGCAAGCCAATCAGTAGATTGTTCATTCCGAAACTGCAAACAAAATACACGAGGCAAAAAAATTGGAATATAACATTGATTATTTTAAGCTTTGCATCTCTATAATAGATGTTTCTGTATAAATTGTACGATCTTAATTAGGAACTTTGGATTTATCCATTACTTCTGGTATCATGGCATATATATCTGATGCATCCTGCAAAAGACAAGATAAGACGTTTAATTTATAGATTTTAAGCCTCCATTTCGGCAGTCTTGGAGTTTTATGTTCGAAAGTTTAGAATAAACCAAGGTGAATATACCAAGGTGACATCATCCGCTATAAATTTCGCTTGCCGCGGCTTAAGGGTTCTGAAGGAGATCTACAGCTGCAAGAATCGAGGCCTTAACGTCCATAAGCAGCTGATCTTCACGTAAGTTTTGAAAAAGAAGAAAAATCAATAGAAGGACATTTTTGGAACAAAAATTAATGATTAGTGCTTGTTTACACAAAGCTCGATAAAGTTGTTTGCATCCGCTTGATAGTCATGGCCTGAGGCTATTTCATCTACGTATACATATTACAAAGAGAATTTCTTGATGAGTAGGTTTGATTTCGATCAGATTGTCTAGTTTGGACTCTTTTTAATGAAAAAACTCTTAAATTAGTTGGAAAGTATGCTAGAAAAATCCTTTCATTGCCAAGTCGGTCGGCAAAGTTAACGCCTGAGTTTTCTTCAGTAACTTTCAATTGCATGCAAGGCTAAGCACCAATGCATATGAAGGTACAGTTGTTGAAGTCCTAAATGTAATAACTGTCCTAAAAGTAATAGAGTCCTAAATGTAATAACATTTGGTCCTAAATGTAATAAACTCCTAAATGTAATAACATTGTTGTTATGGCGGACATCCACATTGAGATGTTAGTGACAGCTGTTGCACCAAAAAACCGCTGACCAGTATACATGTCACATTACGGGCTCGCTGATAACAATCAGCGTCTTTTTACTTTCTAGACATAAGAAATATCAGCAGTCGAAGTATGGTCCATAAAGCGGTTTATTGATCGAGTTGAAGAAAATCATTTCCAGCCCAAAGTGGGCTAGTGCTTGGCTGGAAGCTCAATAGGATGGAATAGATTGGTACGTAATCATTAATTTTTGGAAAAGAAATTGACTACAATTGATGATGAACTAGCATGCTATTGCTGATGTTATCGTTCGTGTTAAAGTCTTTAGCAGTGATGCACCATTTTAGAGCAGTTTGAATGATTTCGCTGTGTCACATGTAAATCCAAAAGAAAATTATTATTATCAGTAGCGTTACTGAAATTTTGCACATCAATGTTATTCAGTGTCAGTTGATTTTAATGAAGCATTTGAGTTCATTTTTAAGAATGACTATCCTGATTTATTCAATTTTGAACTTGGGGTATTGCATTTCTAGCCCTTTATGGCTTTACTCCACCTCAGTAATCAGTTCATGTACCATATGACTATAAGTGGAAACTGTTGAGCTTTCTTTTTTCATTCATCTATATATCTATTCATTTTCTTCCCTCACGGCGGGGAGAAGAGATGAAGACAAAAAATGAAATATAAACTTGAGATCAACTTTAAAATATATTTTTTCCCAATATTTCGGTTCGGGAACTAATAAACCCTTCATAAGGGGCTAAAGGAAAAAAATGAATGGTTCATTACACCGTCAACTGACCATCATGTGTTGAATGTTGTAGCTCAATGGTTCAATTTGACTCTTGCGTGGAAAAAAGACAACATGTCGAAACCAGTGATCGTGAAATGGGATAACATATAATTGGTCAGTAGATATCTTGCTCTGTAAATCACTTTATCATATAGCTAACAGCGCACGCGGGCAAGATGAAGTGAATCCTGTGTTCTGATTGGCTACCTGAGCGGGCATGATGGGCCCACCCTCGCCCGCTCGGGAAATAAGGGAGTCTGATCCAGACATCTTCCTTCAGCTTCTGCGTTTCTTTTACTGCGACGAAGTGACTTACCAAGATGAGAATGACGCTATCCAGATGTGGTATTTAGCTGATAGATACGACGTTCCTTCGCTTGTGACGAAGTGTTTGGATTTTCTAGATGGAGCTATGAAGCCGCTAAATGCCTTTGATATCATCCCTCATGCTCGGAAATTAAATGCTGAAAAGCTCGAAGAGAGCTGCTGGGAAGTGATCGATTACAACGCAAAAGATATCATCAATGACAATTCGTTTTCCGAGCTCAGTCATGAATTATTGCTCGAGTTTGTCAAAAGATCTTCGTTGCGCATCGACGAATTATCGTTGTTCAAAGCAATAGATCGCTGGGCGACAAAACGATGCGCAGATGAAACTAAGGCTGTGAACGGAGCCAGCAAAAGATCACTCCTAGGAGAGGATCTGGTGGAGCATATTCAAGAAAGGTGGAATGCTTACATTTATAGTGAGGAAGAATATTTCCCTATGCGGTGTAACTATCATCAGACGCGTTTTTCCCCCGAGGGTAAATCACTTGATTGTCTTGTGAGTGTGTCCGTCACTCGCGGAGGCAAAACTTTAAGAACAGTTAAAAACTACAAATATGTCGAGGAAGGAATGCGCGTAACTCTAGGCAGCCGAGTGGCATTTAATGTTCTCTTCAACAGGCCTCTCACGTTGAGTACGAATACTTGCTACACCATTGAAACTTCGACTGAACCCATACAAGACCCTAATACCTTTGTCTGGTATTTCCCTCTGACGCACTCTCTGTCAGATAAACCTGATTCGCCCATCAACAATCCAAAAACAGCTAACAAAGACACCATACTGTCTGGTGTTTGTTCCGGAAAATACACTGAGGCTATCCCGGCTAATGCTTATTACGTAGGAGAAGTACTGGCACTTCTGTTTACAGCTTCTGAATAACGATATTACGATGTATTTCGATGCACAAAGCCAAAATAGGAAAACAAAACCGTGCATGACACCCACATTTAGAGTATGCATGCAGGAATATGCATGCAATAGAATATGCATGCAAGCGAGAATGAGCTGTAGTTCTATTTTGTACTTTAAATCAGTTATAATTTCCGGCCGAGGCGCGAGGCTGGCTTACTTGGTTATCAAACCCATACATGTCCTTCCCACTCTTCCCCCCCCCCCCCCCATACATGTCCTCACCTCCCCTCACTCTCCCCTATCATTGAAGCTTGAAAAATATATTTTTTGGCCCTATCAAAAGCTTGTCATTAGCTTAGCCTTATGAAAATTTTAGTTTCGACAGATTGCACAAACTAAGGGAACATTTCTTACGTTGGCCCCATTCTGCAGTTTTGGCCAATGTTTCCGTTAGCATATTACACAATTATATCCTAAAGAGGAAGCTGGATCTTAATTTCCATGCTAATGGTCTGACGACTCATGTACTTTAAAAATTAAACATTCAGTGAGGACTGGTGTGTTGTTCAGATCTCCAAAGAATTTACACAGCGAATTTTTCTTGCCATGGGAGGGTTACTAGAATAGGCAATCTGATGAATACTCCAGAAATCAAGTATTTGCGGAAAGACTGGTTCTCATATCTTGTTGGAAATCCACAACGAAGAACGGGTTCCAGTCTCTCAGTAGACACCTAATTAAGATCTGTTTTTGGATAAGTATCGTCATTGCTTTTTCGATTAAAAGAAACGAAAAAGATACTTTATAGTTCTTGATTTTTTTGTGTGAAATTTTCGCGACAGTGTAAGTGTATTTAGCAAGTTACCATTGTCTGACTTAAATACCTACTCTCACTTACGAAACACTCACAAATCGCATATACAGCGCACAAATGGGAGCTTGAAATATACTTTTGCCCATTGGTTTTCATCAAAGCTTTCACATGGTTTTTTCGAATTATAGATCACGTTTATACTTGATTAAGGTCAAAGTGTGTTATCCCTTTCCACCCTAACATCAGTCTGCATATTCTCCATACTGTTCCCCATACATTTCTTCAGGTGCTGACAAAAAGATTTTGTTCACTCATCATGAGCCTCTATACATGGAGATCATTTCCTTTATTCTCATGACCTTAATGTTTGATTTAGCAGTGATATTGTAAGGAGAAATTAGATGCCAATCCTTTTGGGGCTTACAGGGTTAAATCGTTTTTAACCCATGACGTGTATAAAGGCATTTAGTAAAATTTTTCCGATTTATACTGCACGATTGGACGGTTTTACAAAACAGATATTATACTGCATTAAAATCAATGTTGTCTCAGAGTGAATGAACGACAGACGTGTGAGAAGAACGATTAAACGAAAAAACATGTACAGGAAATGACTTTCAATAGACGTCAATGAAATCAAGAAACGGAAGAGGTCTTGGAGTGGGCGACGTAAACTCTCCGAGAAAAGAATATCAAGAATAAAATATTGGAGAAGCTGTAAGTTCTCACGTCTTTATATTAGTTATCAGACCCAAAAGGGCGGCATTTAGAATGCAAACAATTAGAAACTCAGTGTCGTATTGCATGCATGTGCTTATCGCGTCAGTAATTTATGCATTTATTGCGCGATTTTGTTTTTAAGGCATTCATGCATGAGACACGCGCTTTGACCTCCTTTGGAACCGCCGCATCAGAGTCAATCGTATGATAATCACGGTGCATTTGAAGAGATTTAACGCACCGCGAGCTCCTCGACAACTCCCATCATAAAACATAACTTCGCCTCAAAACTCGCAGTTCGGAAAAAAAAATAAGTTGGAACTTAATCTCGCTTTATCAAGATGGGGTCTTGTATGAGCATGATTTGCCAGTGTCATCTCTGTAGGTGTTGTGAATGCGGTCCCCCATGTTACTGTTGTCGATGCTGCAAACACTGGTTCGGAGATTGGTGGATGTGCAGTGACTGCTGTGATGATTTCTCTGATGAAGAGTATTACCCAGTTAATCCAACGAAAAACGATAAAGAAGCGCCACCGGATGACGGAGAAGGGATGTATAAATATCCGAACGGGGACGTGTACGTCGGCGAATGGAGACGGGGCAAGCGACATGGCTATGGAGAACTTGTAAAGAAAGACGGAACGCAGTGAGTAGTCACGTACTGCAAACCTTGATGTTTAATTTATGTTCAATTCAGAGTTTACTTAAACAAACGCTTGTGAGGTACAATCGAGGCATTCAAACACTGCTTCTGTTCTATTTTATTCTAGAATATTATTAACTGTTGTTTTGAAAACATTCAGTTTATTTTGACGGTTAAATTGACAACGGAGTCGAATGAAAAATTTCGCAATTAGTTTAACATGTCACGCCAGACTGCTTCAAGCCAAGAGCGGTGTAAGTTCCCCGGAAAAAGTGAAAAAAAGGTTCATTAATCATTTTTCTTTGCTCATCGACGAAGCAATGGTCATTGTTGTTCTTATTGTTTAAAAATTGGTTTGTCTTTGTTTTTTTTTTTACATTAAGCATTTTCATAGGGAGCACGTCACATCGGATTGATATTCGAGCGCGTCTTGAACGAAAGTTCGAGTGACTCAGAAAATGTCGAAATAATATCCTAAGAGTGCAACCATTTGAAATTTCGCAGTAAATTTTACCAAGACCAGTATTGTGAATAAGCTCAATTTTGTTGTTTATCTTTCAAGCATTAATCTCAAAGTTAACATGGCTACTTAAAAAGTCAGATTGGTTTATTGACGAGAAGGCGGCTGTCGAAACGAGAAACTGGTATTGAACACAATTTACATGAACTTTCTTGAAGAATACCCCGTCGAAGGTTTTAGAAACTGGGCAAAAAGATCACCGCTTAGGGGTTCCTTTTTGATAAAAGTCTTGTTGATACTTTAAAAGCTTACTGCTGCTACTTAGTTTCATGTCTGGCGTTTAATGTACATCCAAACCCACTAGAAATGGGGCAATTCAAACTACATTCTTGAGATAGAACCAGAGCAGAGTGAAGACTTTTCTAGAGAGGAGAAAAAACTATTTATGGTACCGACGTGTAGGTTCATTTCGGCGGTTGATCATCTGGTTGCCCTCTCGACTGATATATTCAAAAATGCAGATTTGGTATGGCACCGTTGAATGATCATTTTTTTGGACTTAAATTTTACACGGTGCAATATTTTTTATCATATCGGGTTCCAAAACATTTCCATCAGTTTTAAAAACAGGGTGTGTTTATATTCGATCTTTAAAACACGTCAAGACCTTGACGATGGGATAAATCATATAACTTTCAGTTGTCTAACAAAGTTAGACAACAAAGGAGAAATTTGCAATTCAATTTGTTAATTCAACTTAAAGTACTTTTTGTTGATATTCAAATTTTGGATGAAAAATGATATTATTCCCAAGGTTTCGAACGTTATGGAGATTTATGAGTGATTTCCGTCTTCTCTCTGTTCGTGTTAATTGGAACTTCTGCCCATCAACTTAAATTTATTTTCTAACCGTTTAACACTCAAATATCATAATATGCAAGCTTTTGCCCGGACAAGACATATTCTGCCATCTAATATCGAGAGAACCTAATTACGTCACTATGGTAACATCAGCTTTCACCAAAATCCTCAAGTTCTTGTAATTTTTTCTTCAGTCCACGTTATCGCTTTCATGGGAAAGGTGTTAACTCGACAAAACAATAAGTTCCATTTGTATTCTCGAAAATACCTGAAAAACGATAACCTCTTGATTCATTTCAAGATCTTTAGAGGTTCAAGTAAGGTTTTTGCGCTCTTGAATATCCGTAGATCTAGAGTGTTCTGAAAAGATATCGAAACAAATCTATAGTAACATTTCACTCGCTCCAATCCCTACTATTTGAGTCATTATTGGAAAAACGTATCGAGTCCTTATGTAAGTGCGAGATCTTTATCAATAAAAAAAACAGCTTTCTGTCCAATGAAATTAACAATTGGGGGCAGGAAGTTATGATGCCCCACGCATTCTGTTGAATACATGAAAAAACATCTTGCTTTACAAGAATGCATATATATCTGTTGTGCCCAGACTTAATATTCTTCTTTATCTCCCGCAGCTTTAAATGATAATTATTATTTTTTACATCTGTTGATTGCGTGGTATTGTATGTCAGTTAACTAGACTGAGGGATGCGACTTGAATGAATTAAAAAAACATAGTCTCAATATCCAATAAAAAAAGCTTTTCTTAGTTCGTAGCCAGTGTTCCATGAGAGAGGAAATTCTTGAAACGTCAATAAAAAAAAAATCTATCGCTATTTATTTTCTATCCCAAAAGAAATTATTTTACGGATTACATTAAAATGTGCCCGCTTTCAGCCGCTACATTCTCATAAAAATCCTAATTAAAAGTTGAGTTAACTACTCACATTTAATGATATGTGTTATGACCCTCGCATTACTCGACAAAAGAGTGCGTAAAACTATACGATGAGCGTACTGGTGCGAGAGGCGAGCCTTGAGTAAAGCTTAAAGAGTTCAGTAGCAACATCAGTCCTTGAAAAGAGAAATTTTAAAATTTCGGAAGTGATACTGGACTATATTCGTTTTGCTCAGCCGCGCTTCCTGATATGCCTAAAAAAACTATTAAACTACCGCCACTCTGTTAAACGGTCCAATGTAAGACTAAAAACCAATGATGACTTCTATTCGCCTTTTTCGTCGTTTCAAGACATTTGCAAGAGTCGACTTAGAGTTTTAGGATTTCTCTCTAATGGTCTCTGATCTGATTGACTTCTCTGATAACATTGGTTGCGGTTTTACGACCCGCAATAAATTCGCGCTCTCACCCCACATAACAGCGATCTCCAACCCTCTCCTCCCCCAGCCCTCTCCACCCATGTATCATTAGGGACCTTAAGCAATCCACGACGACGACGGTAACGAGGATCGAAAAACAAAAGATCTAATTGGCAGAACAATAGCTCAGCACGTGCGTCTTAAAACTTTGTACATTTCTTAGCCGTCCTAGGCAAAACAACAACGTGAAATCACCACAATTTGCGTCGTCTGCAAATCGAAACCGCGACGGCAAATTATTTTAATTTACGTTTGGAACTCAACGCTTCTTTTATACGTTATGCGGAAGTTGAGGTATGGCGCTGTTAGAGACGGTAACCACATGCAGCCATTTTTTAATTTCTAATTGAAGGTAGAAATTCATTTTTTAATCGAATTCTTCCTTGGCGTTGCCTTCCTGACTGCATAAGGTCCCTATTATCTCCTACGGTTTCTTTAGGTCGTGCTGTCCATAAGCCATTTGTTAGTCTCACTATAAGGCGCATAAACTGTTTTTAGCTTGCATTTGTCATTTCTAGGACTTGATTTCTTTTGTTCAACTTATCCCATGATAGGGTTGTTGGCTTCTTCTACGATGATGAATATGTGGGAGAGAAACCGGACGAGAGACTGAGAAGGAGTCCTGTGACGTCAAGACCCTTCAGCAAGATGCAAGTGAACGAGGAGGGCGATGCTTCGTAAGTACCCATAATGCTTTGAGCACTAGGAACAGATAAACTCAGTCAATTTTAAAACAAAAATCTTGCATATCTGTTTTAACTGATTCGCGCCTGCGTTATCTTATTGTGACCTTTTTTATTCAATAGTGGAGCAAGAAAAGAGGATCAAGAGGCGATTGAACAGGCCTGGAAAGAAGAGAAACAAAAGATTAACTCAGATTCGAATGGAGCACAATCCTACTCAACCATAAACAACGGCAAGGAGTAACAAACTTACAACCCCTCACTCTTAGATTCATTTCTACACGCAATTAACAGACTTCATATAAAAATATCGTAATATTTGCATTTATTTTGTGTCTTTTCGTTGGATGCTCGATTCTAAGTAGCTAGTGTAGTGTTAAATAAATGTCAGGAGACACGGAGTATTAGATCAAGTACTGTGTGATATTGTGGGGCAGGCCCCTAAGCCTTCGAACGATTCAAATCCAATGAAATTGCAGAGGACAAAATCACAACTATAAGGATGTGAACAATTAATTGAAACATGGCAGGCACGAAAACTTGATGCTGAGTAGATAGATTTTGCGCCCAGTAGAAGGTGAGATTTCAGTTCTTTCCTGTGGGTTTGACTTTGGAAAAATTTAATAATTGTGAGGGAAAAACAAGTAAACTTTATTCTTTGCTTCTGTCACAAATTTGTAGATCTTTCTCGGAAGGTCGAGTATGATTAAAACTGAGTTGTAGCATTTTTCAAGAAAATGGACTACTTTCAGACGTGACGAGCCTAATTTTTCTCTCGTGTATACAGGGCACTGGTCAATATTTACGATTTTCAGTCTAGGACGAGGCCAAGAAAGTTTACTTGCACGAAAACGTTTGAGTACGTGATAAAAGTGTACGAGTCCTTTATGTTTCTAGGCGACCTCTTGCACGCGCAGGATGCACATCGAAGTTTTTCGCCGGTGTTAAAAACAAATGATCATCCAGCGAATGATAAAAGTTTCCTGGGTTTTTGAAACAGGATACTTAATTTTATCTACGCCACATGAGAAATTTCCTCGTCTTTGAGAATTCGATGTAGGAAATAGTTTATATAAATTCAAAGTAAAGTAAATTAAATTAACTAGGGTGTAAGTCAAATTCTTCAGCACCGTTCCTTTCACGGTTATGTAAACGTAGGTGAACGTAAATAAAGCTATTTTTTAGAGTTGTGCTTCAAAAACTATTTGAAGTTCGTGTGTTAGAAAATTTCATAAGAATAAACTGTAGAAAAATACGCTAAATGGATCGTATTTTCCACGTAAATGAATGAAATGAGAAATACTTCTGAGTCGCTAATCAAAACGTTCATTGAAGATCGATCATTTTCTACATATCACGTTATTTAAATTGTCTTGGCTATAACCTCGTTCTCAGGCTCCTCTCTCTGTCTCCCTCTCTCCTTCCTTCTTTTCTCGAGGGGGTAGGTGAGAAGACCTTGTAACAAGGTTGTGTTGTCGACTGTTTATTTGTTTGTCTTATTGTTTACAAATATAATAAATTGGCGCGTCAGTATGGGTGGATATATCACTAGAGTTTCCCAAAAACCGGAAAGTGTAAAATAAATTGCATTTCATTCACCTGAAAGTTAACTTGAGCGAATAATGATTCTTGTATGGTGGTATTGAACTTCCTGCGTGCTAAATATGCTTAAATGATTGCCTTTTCCTTGGACAAAAGACAAATGAGAGGAAGATCAACAAATTTGACCTTAAAATTGTTTCCTTACTTGGAACTGGTTAGCTCAAATGACCACCACAAACCACATAATACCAAGCCGAGGTTTAATAATTATTCAAGAAATACATTTATAATTCGCAATCAGAACAAACGCAGATCAAGTCTTAATCTCGTAGCTAAATTCAAAAACTTCAATGTTAACTTACTTCTGTGGCGGATCGTCGCAATAGTCTCACTTTACAGGTTAGGAGATTCTTTTGGTAAGCGGATTTAGAGGTAAACAAATAAAGACAAAATAACTTCTTTCTCACTTCGATTCCGCTGAAAAACTGACTTGAAACAAAAATATAACGCTTTTAAATCAAAGTGTAGAATTGATGTCAATCACGATTCTTGTCGCTAAATAAATCTATCAGCAAGAGGCGACGCCTACTTGATAAACGAAACAAAAATAACTTGATTTACATTTTTTGAAGTGTGAAATGAAACTAAGGAGTTAAAATATAGGGTTACGCTAACCTCTGGAAGCCTTGACGGTGTCACCTTACATTACGCTTTCTTCTCGCTCAGCGGTGAGATACGAGCTAACCATGGGAGCCACTTGTTCCAAATGTTGTTTGTGTTACTGCTTTAAATTAGTTGAGTTTGGAGACAGCTTTCGCTGCCGTCATTCCTGTTGCATCCAGTACTGTGAACCTTGCTGTCACTGCGGCGACTGTTGCGATGCAGAAGATGATTTACCGTTCGTGAAAGAAACTGAACTAGTTTCAAGCGAAGAGGAAGCTGTTGTTTATCTAAATGGGGATAAGTACACAGGCGCCATGCAAAACAATAAGAAGCATGGATACGGTGAGCTTACACGCAAAGATGGAACGAGGTAATCTGGAAATTTTAAAATACCTTTGCTCGATTAGAAAAGGTTTCATGGACATACAGGTTGTCACAAGAGGGTCAGAAAATTTTGGAAGACTTCTGGACCACTGTCACGACGGGTAGCCCGTTCCCAGAGACGGAACATCATGATCGTAATGAGTGAGTTTTTCAATGTTCTCATCTCTGCGACGGGAATTTTTTAAAGGCTGATTTGTCTCAAAAAAGACACAATCCTACTACAAATTCTAATTAAACCTAGACATAGTTGACGAATTGCTACCCGGCATGTGAAGCACCGCACTAAATTAGTAATTTTATCGCAGATTCAAAGGAAATGTGGAGGAGTAAAAGCGACCAAGAGGAGGTGACAGGGGAGGAACGGGGGAGGGAAGTAAAGATTTTGCTCTTTGGTCGACGGGTATGTTGTCGTGCTTTCAGTTTTGCTTTTCTCTTCTTGTTCAACAGTTTAAAAGGCTATTTTGTTGATGATCATTTTATTGGCGAGACACCTGCAGACAATTTGGCTGTGGCTAGTGCTACAGATCATGAATCAAATAGGTAAGTCTTAAAGTTCTGAAAAACAATTACTCTGTAACTGGTTAGTGCAATAGTCATACTGACTGATGTTTTTCACCGATTAGTTGAGCTAATTGAGCTAAGTGCTGGACCTAGTCTGATATAATCTCGTACTCAGATCCTACTATGTAACGTGACTGACCGCTTCGCAGTGGGAGGTCTGGGCACAAGACAAAGCCTGATAATAACGGAATTCCTTTTTCCCTCTTTTTTTGTTTTTTGAGACCAGCAATCTTACCTTTGGCTTCAGAGTAACTTCAAAATATCGATTTAATTTGATAAAAACACCAATTTAGAAAAGGTTAAATTAATAAAACAGACTTTGATTGTCAGGGCTAAATATTCAAAGATACACCGACTGCAATGCAGCTCAGAATGAAATGATAGACCGAAATGATTTATTTTACTGAAAAGTTCGCCATTTGAAGCTCTCTACTTTCATTGTCATTTCATTGCAGTGCTTTAAAGCAAGCCGGATCAAATGTCTTTCATCGTGAACTTCAACCTCTAGCATCTACTGATGGCCCAGAGGAACGTCTTCGGGACACATGATTTGACACGGGCCAATTAATTACGAGGCTGATGAGTCATACTTTTCGTTCGTCTCGTTTCCAGGGTTGGAAGCAAGGCTGGTCCACGTAGTAGTTTGCATTTCGAAAATTTATTGTTTGTTATACAACAATGCAATTGACCAACGAGAAACTTAATTGAAACTGCGGCAATGGGTTCAAGGCGAAACTGATGCGTAGCAAAAATGAAGAAAGAGACCAATAGGGCTTGGTCATCGTCAGTCTTAGGAAAGTAAAACTGAAAGTAATGATACCATTTAAAGGTTTATTAGTCTACTAAGCTACCTATAATATTGAGTGACGAAACTTATTTTCTTTTTCTCGTTCTAATTCACGTCAGTCAGAAAAATTTAATTGCAAATGACAACACTTGAACAGAAAAGTATAACTCAGAATGGAACAGTAAGTTTCAAGTAAGTTAGTTCTTCCAATTGTTGTATCTGTTTTTTGTTTTTTTTTTTGCTCAGATCGTTCCACCGAACGTCACTATGATGTGAATGTAAACCAAATTGAGGCCGATGCTACCTTCACCGCAAAATTAAAGGGATGCCCCTCGGGGATTTAGCCTATTGAAAATGTTCCTTGCTGTGACACTCCTTAGAAAAAGATACAGCGACGCAGCAAGATTTTACAAAATGAGGTTCACCAGACCATCTTATTGCGATCTGAAAGCATGTCAACTCTTTTTAAGATTAGAGGATTTGATTTTGAAAAAAAGGGAGAAAGGTGTGGCTAAATGCATCCAAAGGGGCGTAACTGATGAGGGTGGGGGAGGGGAGTGCGGGTGCCCATGACACTCCCTACTTACGTCATTTTCTTATAAGCCCTATAATTCTGGCGCGCGAATCTGATGAATCTGTAGGGCATAAATCTTTTCTAGTGCTAGTTACTCCATTTTCTGGCCCTCTTTAGTAAATAGTAGCCCCCCCCCTCCCCCCCCCCCATGCACATGGTAGAGCAGTGGTGTAATTAAATTGGCAGGTTTCGACCTGAAGATATTTCAAATATGCAAATGTCATTCAGCTCCCTAGATCTGATAAGTGTACATTTTAAACATTAGAGCCTGGGAGATTGCCTGGTATTATTATCAAGCTTTCATAGGTTTTTCCTTCCTTGATCGCATTAGCCTAAAAGAACGGTAAGTTTCTCGTCAGAAGTCTCAAAGTCAAGGTATTTTATGTGGCTCCGTCATTTTCCCGCCATATCTGCCGGCTGAGATGCCCATATATGGAAGATAATCGGGTTCGGTCGCCATCGGGGACAATCGGGTCCTTTGTTTGCTATTTTCGGCGACAATCGGCTGGCCATCGTTCGGCCGAAGTGCCGGATCCGTCCTCCCGTGGTCGTTGTGTAAGTGTTTGAGGAAGGTGGCTTTTGGGAAACGTGTTACTTCCCAGCGTTCATCACTTGAAGCCCGGCGTGCTTTGCGTTTACCCAAACTTCAGGTATCTGTCGTTTTCTTTTGGTATCGCAGAATGGATCGTATGAATGCTATTGGTGATTTAATATCCGTACGAGTGAAAAATTTTGAGCGTTTATGCTCCTCTACGGCGTATTAGCGAACAACAATGGCGGCCACGGGTTCTTTTACTATCGATTTTGATCGCGGATGGCGCTTCTCAGCTAGAAACGCGGCTTAGTCGCTGAAATTTTTAAAAGATGTTCGAAGCATATTCCGTCGTAGGCTCGAATGACTGAGTTTTGTCGAGCATGGGTGATATATTCGGGGTGAGATTGTGAGCTGCAGCGGTTAAAATTTGAATGTATAATTATGGACCTTGAACGACTTTGAACGCGCATGCTGCTTCGTTTTGTTTAACTGTTAGGACATTGAAATTTTATTCGCGATACGAAGTCAGCGATTGAAAATGGACGATATAAACTTAACTTCTGCATTGCAGTAGAAGTTTTTTTGAGTTATGCCTGTTTTACTCAGGTGAGCGGACAAGCCAAGTCGAACAAGACCCGAGACAAAATGTGAAAGTTCCCGTCTAGTGTCAAATATGGCTTCGTTATTGGAATTTTATTCATTTCCTAGACAATTCAATTGAAAAGCTGTCGGTTTTAAGATAATCGATTATATCAAGAACTTGACTTGCATAGAAATGAATAGATGTATCAATAATAATAAGTTAGTAAATATAGTATTTTCCTCAATAGATGTTATTCTTTACTCGGGTAAATTTTCAAATTCAGTGGACTTATTGACTGAGTGGGAGGGTAAGATGGGAAAATATGTCACTCAAGTATGTAGACCAAGTGCGACAAAGTCTGCTTGTTATGACTGCGGGCCAAACATAGTACAATATGATACAATCAAACTCATTCACTAAGTAATCTATGAAGGATCCCTAAGTTTTGAAATTGTTTTTTTTAACATAATTAGGATGTAGTCCATGTTCAGAAGAAGCCAGCGCTAGACATCTTCAAAAGAATATATAATGGAAAACTTTTCCTTTATTTCTTCAAGTCAGAACAAAAGAAAAACTCATTGAAAAACGTGACTTATTTTCCTATCTCTCAACCGGTTGTTCACAATTGGTAGTCATGTTTTTAGAAAATGCAAAGAGCCAGGCCAGTATGGGGTGGCATGTGTTTTGTGGGCTGGCTCATGTTGACCCTTCTTATCCTACTCACTACAGTTTATCATGGTTTTCTCTTGTATTGTGCAAGTAGAGTGGAATGGGTTGTATAATGATATATAGTATTAGAGGATGTTCACATTGGGAGAATGCACACAATTTCAAAAACATTTACATTGAAAGATGAGACACTACTTTGTTTGGGATACATTTTCTTGGTGATCACGATTATCACTTGGGGAATGATGGATGTTATCCATGCTTTCTTGGAAGAGAAGGATTATCATGATAAAGGTCTTTCATGAATAGTATCTGCACAAACATTTCCCATAAAGGCAGTGGGCCTCATTGTTCTCATATCATGCCTTTTAGGTGTCAATTTTTTTTACAATTGAGTGTAGACATACACTTTGCTGACTCAAGTCTACTCTGAATATTTCTATGTCCTTTTCACCTACTTTTAAAGTCATCTAGAAACATCTCTTTTAGTGCACAACTGCCTGAGGACTGTTCCAAATTTTATATTTTGGAAGTAATGTAGATCACCTTGTGTATTGTGGATTAATACAGTTTACTCTCAAGAACTCAAGTCCTTGCTTTTTCCAAGCTTATTTTAGCTAGAAACAAGTCATCAATCATACCTTTACCATAACCTTCCCCTAGGTTACTTAAACTCTCAGCAAGTGTACCTCATGCTTTCTTGAATATTGCCCCTTAAGAAGGGTTTCTTTATGAGTTTACGCTTGACAATTTAGACCATATTTTTCACACATACATGAGAAGTCAAAACAAGTAGTTCTGTTGTCAAAAACATAAATATTAAACATCTATTTTTTGTTCCTTTTGTGGGACACACAGAGTGTGTCACATGTTACCAAAATATATTGCTATATCCCCCAGATAGAGGTTTATCCAGTGGATAGCAATGGTAACCATGTCTCCTATTTTATGGCTTATTCAGGGTATAACATTTGTTTTTAGCATCCCCCTTCTTCAGCTCACTCATCCACTACTGTAAATGCAATTTTCTGTTTTGATATTCCTTATACAAGTTCTTAGACACATACTGTGTGTGTTGTGTTGTGTTGTGTGCAAAGTCTCCTTCAACATGATATTCATGCTCAAATTTTTTTTTCAGACATTAGCCTTTGTGAGGAAAATCAATGGATGCTGACTTGGATGGAATGATCAAAGACGAAAAGGAGGTGCAATTAGAAGGTACTCTGATTTATATTTAATTTTGGGTATTGAAATGATTTCAAATTTAAATTGACAGATTCCAAACTAGTTGAAATTTTTATAATAATATCTTACCACTTGCACTGTTAAGGAACTTGAACATGTGTAGGAAAGCAAATCTGGGATCCATTCTCGTCATTTTTTTCTTCTCTTCCAATTAGCTGATCTGAAGTACTGTTGTGCTATTTTTGTGAAGATGCAAATTCAGATTTATTTTCTAGAAATATTTAACAACATCTATCCAATTTATGGTGAACAACCACTGATCTTTACACTAATTGCAAATCTTGAACAATGAATGATTTTTTAAATGATTTTGTATTTTAATGATTTTTATCCCAAACTTTGTTACTATCAGAACCAAGTGATCTGGCACCAGTATCTGTCAGTCACATTGCTGGTCAGCCAATCAACTCCACAGAGCAAGAAGTGATTGGTCTGCTATTAGCCCAACAGCAAGTTTTTACAAGTCCCAGTAAACTTGAGCCATCGAGTGTCTATGCAAACCAATCGTCTGTTCCCAGTGCTGTAGCAGTGGTTACAGGTGATGTGTTACAGCCACACGACACTGAAAACAAAGCTATTGTCATCGTAAGTGTTACTAATCATATGAGTGACAAACAAAATCGGATGACCAAGAAACAGGAGTCTGATTTGCTAAATATTAGTATGGTTACAGACAGAATTGGATTGTACGAAGTCCTGTCACTAATAAATTAAAACCATGACAAAATTTGAGAAAGAAACTAGACATTGGTTACACGTTTTCTTAAAAAAAGCAACAACAGAACTTTAACCCTGTGAAATGGGCAATAACAGCCCATACACGTGATGGGTACTGTCCACTCATGCAGGCCTGATGTGTCAACTGTCCTACTACACTGTCAAATTACAAGCATGTAGCTTACACTGTCCTATTAATTTTCAAATCAGGCAGGTGATGACCAATCATATTCAAGAATTTTGTTTTCATTTTGATTAAGAATAGGAGACATTTTTTATGATTAGCCCTTGGTTAAGAATATTATTATTAGCTGAATTGTGGCCATCATTGAGAGAACTGGGGCTTCTCTTAACCAGCCTATGTGGGATTTTAGAACAAGTTACTGTCCTCTTTTCCCCTACTGATGGGTTTACATCCATGAGACGATTCAGCTTGTCTCCTTTTTCCATTATAAATTTGAATTGGATTGGGAGTTTTTTGCCATTGTGGAAGAGGAAACACTGGGAAAGAGAGAACATTCAGGGAAAGGAAATTAATCAATTGTGCCAATACGATGGGAGTTGATAGAACCACCTTACCTTCTCTGATCCAGCCTTATATTTATCTCAGAATGTAACTTCTCTATCTCATAATTTCATGTGATACTCCAGTTAGAATTCTCATGGTAATTTTGCATTTTGTCAGAGGTGAAATATAATTTGTGTCATAACAACTATGAAAATTAGTCTTGTCTAGGAAACCTACAGAGGATGTGGTGGATTTTGTCCATCAACGTGTCTGTACTATCAGCTTTATAATAAGGAGTTTGTGGGGTAGATGATACCAGTGAGTGGGTGTAGCATTGAGGATAAACCTTCAGATTTGCAATGTGTTTCTTTCTTTTGTTTCCTAGAGTGAAGACACAGACGTTGAAGTAAAAGATACAGACTCAATTCTAGTTGCTCAACAAGGAGAGCAAGATGCTGCTACAGCAACCATTATGGCCTCTGTGGATCAACAAGATGGTATGTCAAAAATATTGTTTTACTTTCACTCCCAGGAGTGACCAATGAGTAATCTCTCCTGGCAGTATCAATACCTTTGTTTTATAAAAGGAAGAAAATATCCACCAAGGAATATTATTTTGTTTGATATATAGAACTTAAATCTTAAGTAATGAGGTAACTAAAGATGCATTGGTTTTATGAGAAAAATCTGATCTCTCATGGAAAGTTGATGCCAAGCACAGGGTGTGTCTTACAGCCAAGTTTTTTGTTGAAACTGATTCAAAAAGTCCAAATTTCCAACTTTAATTTAGCTACAGGTACATTATTAGTAATCAGGTACATTATTAGTACTCAAGGCAAAGACTGTTGGTTACTGACTTTCATGTATGTGGTGGTGGCTAAAAAGAACAATTTGAAGAAGACTGTCTTTTTTCTAATCATCACTCTAACTGTCTGTTTTCTACCCAGTATCTACATGTACTCGCTGTTCTCATCTCAGTCTAGTTTCTTCTTCCCACACAGCCTTATCCTTGGTTTCATATAAATTGGGGTCCCCTGAGTTTGAAAGTAATTGAGAACTGTTGTAGATGGCAGTGAGGGATGCTTTTGAAGTTCAAGGATGAGTCAACATCAGAATCAAGTGGAAAGCTTATCAGTTGCAGTAGTTGAACTTTAGATAATTTAATTTCCTAATTGGAATTTCAAGTTTAAGGCTGATCATGATTTCACACTCCAATGACATGACAGAACACCTTGGCTTCTCAACTCCTCCTGCTAGAAAAGTGCACTTAAATTTAAAAATAACCTGCAGGTAGTGAAGGCTATCAGTCTGTTCAGACCAACTTGGCACCAGGTGACCTCGTCCAATCAGCTGTGGTGGTGAGTTCAACTCCAGGTGGAACTGTGTTTCTAGAACCACAGGCTGTGACCTTGACTGAACTTCCTGGTGGAACTGTGCAAACTCTTCCTGCAGGAAGCACTTTTGAAGGTAAAGTAAACACAGTACAAAAATTTTTCTCAATTTAATAAAGTGGATAGCCTTGTCATAAGTTAAGAGAATTGTTTTTCACATGTTGGCAGTTGAGAGGTTATTTCACATTAGAGGGTTTAATGCTGTTTAGTACCTGATCAGCAACTCCAGTGTTCACCTTCACGGGCATTTATCAGTAAAATTTACCACCCATACTACCTTTTCTTACTGCCTCATATTGCTTGGAATTCTTGAAAACTCAATGGGTTGAAGGATTTGTCCTCTGGCTTCAAAATATGGTCTACCTGTTATGCTTAAACAAGGAGAGAACACTGTTACTCTGGATTGATAAAAATTGGTAAAGTTTTGGTTTTGTGAAGGAAAAACATGCAAAGAGTTTCTGATCTGTTAGGCAAAGACAGTATGATAACAGAAAACTTATCAAAGAATTTATACAGAGGCTTGTAATTTCAAGTCAAATTTAACTTGATTTATTAGGTATTGCAAATGTGAAAGATTAAAGAAAGGCAAAATTTCAGATCAATATCAGTATCTGGGCAAGGTTGATATCATCATTGACAATTGAGGACTCAAAGTAAACACAGGCAAGGTTAACCTGACTCTGAAGTACTGGAAAACGTGATTTACCAAATTGGGATTGGTTTTGGTTTGCATTTAATTGGTTGAGATGGTGTGCAAATGTCTAAACAAATTACACAGTGAAGTAAAGCAAAACCAAAGTAATACAGGATTACTTTCTACACTCAATTGAAAATATTTCAAAACAAATCACAAAAATATGATGGCCGAAACAGTTGAGGTTTTGACAGACTATCCCTGCCTCCCAGACACCATTATTAACATGTCTACAATCTTATGATGGTCCACTTTTCCGATTTTTTTCTTATTTTCTCCATAAAGAGGTCTGCCATGCTTTCTATGCACTAACACATTCCATTTCCTATTTTATTTTTAACCAGCAACTTACGTTCATCAGAGCAGTGATGGAACTAGTTACGTCATCACTTCAGAACCCACATCCTTTGATACAAACTCTTCGGTCTCTATGACAACAATTTCTGAGTCAAACCCTTCTCTGGTGAGTACAAGTGAGACAGTAGACACAACAGGAATTCCTCTGGAGCAGTTTGCTGCGCATCACACTCATCAGGTTGATCACGAAGATCATTCAACCCTATATGTGATACAGGATGATTCTGGTGGACAGGATCAGGAGGTATGAAAGATATTCAATTGTCAACTTCATTTCAAACGTCAGGGGAATTTTTTGTCAACTGTTTTTTTTTTTTTGTAAAAGTTGTTGAGATTGCCATTCAGGCAATCATTTTCAATGTTCAGTGCAACAAATCATGGATGTATTGGTAGCATTCGTAGTCAAATGAAATAATAACCCCTCACCCCTAAGAGATATTTACATCTAACATCACTGCTGAATCGAAAATTTGGGTCACGAGAAAACAGGAAATGATCACCAACTGAAGAAGCTCTTGATTGTTAAAGAAAGTCTCCTTGTCAGCTCCTTAGGAAATGTATAAAGAACAGTATGGAGACTATCAATGCTGATGTTTGGGTGTAAAGGGTTAACTTTTGTGGTCTCTTTTTGCATAACCAGGCAGCAGCCAAGAAGATTTACCACTGCGTAATCGATGGGTGTGGCAAGCAGTTCTCCACGTCATACCGACTGAAAGCTCATGGACGAAGTCATACGGGAGACACGTTTCGGTGTGAAGAAGAAGGCTGCGAGAAGGCTTTTATCACTCAGAGTGACTTGACGAAGCATGTAAGAACTCACTCAGGAGAAAAACCTTACCGATGTGATCACGAAGGGTGCGGGAAGGTGTACACCACAGCGCATCATCTGAAGGTTTGTGTGTTAGTTCTACCCAGATCTACTGAGTGTTTTTTCTGTGCGGTTTATTTTTGCTAGATCAGGTCGAGGTTAAAAGAAATCTATTAGTAGTGGCTTTGTATACTTGTAGCAACAGTGCATGTAGATTTGTAGAATTGATAATCCTTCCTGAAAAGGAAGATAGCTATGGGAAATAAATTAGTCTCTAATGTTGTCGTGGACCCACCTGTGTATGAGGTGTACGGTTTTTAGGAAAAACAACTAAAATAAAAGTCGTATAGTTCAGTCAGGCGTTCACATATTTTCTATCTTTTGGACTGAAACTTAGCGCAGTTTCTCCAATTTTTTTGCTATCCTGAACTCTCTCACTGTATTTTCATTGGAATCAGGAAATTTGAATTTGCCCTTAAAAAGATTGATCTAATCTTAAAGTGTAATTATTTAAACATTGATTAAATCGACTGACAGTTATCAGTTGCCATAATCAAATGTTCTTTTGATTTTCAGGTTCATGAACGCGCTCACACAGGAGAGAAACCGTTTAAATGTCGTGTTGAAGGCTGTGATAAAGCATTCGCTACAGGGTATGGTTTGAAGAGTCACACACGAACCCACACTGGAGAGAAACCTTACAAATGTCCCCATGATGATTGCGGTAAGGCTTTCAAGACGTCGGGAGATCTGCAGAAACATGTGCGCACGCATACAGGTAAGTGAACAGAGCTCAAATTCAAGGTCAGTGGTTGTTCAATCATCGGCAAGGGCGTGGCTACGATTTTTCAGAGAAGGTGGAAGGGTGACACTATACAACACCCCTAGTACTTACCCTACTGTCTGTCCACTTTTACACTGTGTTTTGCTAACAGTTAAGTTTTCATCGCATGAACAGTGATTGATTCATGCCTCCGGATTCGAGCATTTTTCGAGCGTCTTTGCCTCCTGGCGCCAATTGTTTGATACCACTGGATAAATCTCTATGCAGTGGATAGCGTAAACGTTTTGCCATCGCGTGTCCGCTGGATACCGTTGTCTACCCTTTATACGACTGGGACCCGAATTATAAGGTCTTTTAAAAAAAAGGTCATCTCAGAAAAGGGCTTCATAATGTATTGTATCAGTTTGACTGCAATCCTTGCCAGGTTTCCTCGTACGCTGTAAAATACACTAGAGAACACAGTGAACTGCTAGCACCATTCAGATCTGATAAATCCGTTTCTGAGCTTTGTTTTGCTTTTTTTTTTCAGGAGAAAGGCCGTTCACGTGTCCATTCCCCGACTGTGGGCGCTCCTTCACCACATCTAATATAAGGAAAGTACACATGAGAACTCACACAGGTGAACGACCTTATGTGTGTGAACACGAAGGCTGCGGACGGTCATTTGCTAGCGCCACTAACTACAAGAATCACTCACGAATACATACAGGTACATTACATTCATTGCTGCTGCCAGATTTAACCAAAAAGGTCGGATTTGTCACTTTTTTGAAGACGAGTCCTGTTGATGTCACGGGGGCCTAATTGTTAAAAGCATATTACGGTGGCCGACTTTCTTTTGGGTCGTCAAGCAATCTTTCCGAAGAATTGCCTGACGGGCCGAAAATTAATTTGGTTACAGATCCGTTTAAGCCCTACCTCAGGGGAGGGCAAGACACTTGGATGTAACTCTCACTTTGCCTCTAAGCACATAACTCAGGCCATATATTCATAGTGTCAGAGCATCGAAGCGCTGAATTTGAAGTTTGATTTTCGATTCCTTATAGGAAAGTGAATTTTTGTCTTTTGTTTTGTTGTTTGTTTGTGTGTTTTTAACCCACTTTCGAATAACATCGTTGTTTATTTGTTGTTAATTGACAGGAGAGCGGCCTTACATCTGTCAAGTGATTGGGTGCAACAAACGCTTCACAGAATACTCCAGTTTGTATAAGCATCACGTGGTCCACACCCATAACAAGCCATACACGTGTAACATCTGTAACAAGACCTACAGACAAACTTCCACACTGGCCAATCACAAGAGAACTGCTCATTGTGATATGGCTGACGTTGATAATTTGGGTGAAGGTGAGAAATATATGCACTTCGCACTTCACACTTCACACTTCACACACAGCAGCATTGAGATGTGTCCGTTGATAGGAAGAGCTGATAGGACTTACGCCTCTTTGTTCCGGAATTGTCCGGCTAGGCTCACTTTCGTAACCGCGTTGTGGCGACTGTGCGCTTTTTTTGTTATGGCGAAGACAAAACCAAAAATCGAACCTGAGAATGAACTTTCCTGAATGTCCCTGTTTCAAAAACATCATTGGGATTTTCGTTTGAGATTAGTGACTACAGATTATGGGCAGTTGGTGTGTTCATAAAGTAATTACAGAAATTGCCTGCTCGCAAGTGTCTAACCTAGTGACCTAGGGCAGGCAATATCTGTTTGTGATGTGCCCCTTTAAGTAAGTCGTGTCATTCTTCTCAGGTGAATATGACGTAGGTCACGAAGAGCCCTCCAACAAACGTCAGCGGTTGGAATATACAGAGACCATCTCAGGTAACCAAGCCTTCGCGCACGGCGTGCCCGTCGTGATAGCCGACGAAGCCTCAGTAGCCGCGCTACAAGCCATGGACGGCAACTTGGCCGATATTCAGCACCAAATAGCCGAGGGTGGTCACGTGACTGGCCACATTGCCATTCCTGTGGCCATAGCATCCGATGCCGCCATCCAAGTGGAAGGTAGTTTGGAGCATGCCGTGACACTGTCACAAGGGGTGCAGCAGCTAAATTCCACCCTTGCTGATAGCACAGGACACGAGCTGGACATGTCAGTACAGGTTGTCTCCGCACCGCAGACTGTGGTGGTGACATCGCTAGAAGCCGTAACGGGGGCAGGTCAACATTCCGACACTGTGGTCGTAACCTCTTTGGATGGCGTGACGACTACCGCTAGAAGAACGCATGACGGGTTTACCATTGTTGCGGTGCCTACTCAGGGAGGAGGACTGAGTATTGGCGAGCAGGAAAAAGTGCAGGAAGGAGAAGAAGAAGCTCAGAATGATGGACAGGCAGAAACTGAGGATGACTCAGGTACTCTTTAAGACGTACACTGTTGGATTTCAAAAGTGGAAAGAACTGTTTGGTCTCTAGGCAGTGAATGTTAATGGAAGCTTATTGTGGACACTAAATTGTCTTGAGTTGGGGTAAGAGTGAGTTTTCATCTGAGAGTACAATGTGCGTTTGATTTTAACAGGGGTATTGCAATCCCACGAGCCTTCTTTAAACGCCGCCAAGGCTGCTCTGGATGCTGCGCTGGCCTCACAGCTGCAACAGAATGACGTCATCAATAGTGAAGACCCTGATTCAGTTTCGACCTCAGAGACCGCCACTATGGCTACTGCTGTGGCTTATCAGGCGTGAAACAAATTGGAGCACGTTTTGACGTTTACAAGATAAGCCTTCAAATGGGATTCGCAGTGGTGAAATGAATCTTCAATTATGCTTAACAACCATTAATATGTAAAATATTTTGAATTTTTTTGGTTTTGTTTGTCACTTAAGTTATTTTTCTTTTTTGTGTGTATTTTACATCTCAGTGGAATGTCGACTTTTTCTTTGTATCTTACTTTTCTTGTGGTCGCAAACTAGCTTACGTTTATTCCAAGGAATTTAAAAAACAGTCAGGAGTTGTGACATGTAAATAAAAAATCTGCAAAACTTGCTGGTGTGTTATCTACCAAGAAATTTCGCTCTAGTTACATCATTAATCAAGAGCCACAGACAGCCTTTTACTTTCCGTTTGGCACATCACAGGTAACGATCTTTGTTAAGAACCCTAAATGTATAGTTAGCCTGCTCTGCGTGTAAAGCGAACTAAGACTGAATAGAATAACCTCAGAAGGAGGTTTAACCATTTCTAGCAAGGTTACTCTCCTCTCTGTGGAAGGGCATAACTAAAGATGACAAATAGAGCGATGTTGATCAAAACATTTGCAATCTTACTACAGTTGGAGCGCATATCAATCGAGAAACCCTTTCACACCGAAAAACGCGATTGACTTTGACTCAATTGGTGTTGGTCTATATCTTGTTAGTGGCATTTTTTTTCTAAACAATTCCAAGAACGTAGAAAAGCGAAGCCAAGGCAATCTCGGGGTAATCGAGACTGTATCGAGGCAAGATTGCAGGATGAGTAAGTATCTTTGCAAGCCCAAGCTGGTAGGACAACAGAGCTAATAATAATCCAGTTGATGACGATCAGCACGTGCAAATTTATCATTAATATGCATGGTGAACAAAACGTGTCTTTAAATTAGAACATACGAAAATTTAAATAATTTACAAACTTCACGTATAGTATTTGATGAGTCGGTCGTGAATTTGCTGCGACGAATTTTAGATCTTCCACCGAGAAGCTTAATCAAGGAGAAAAGTATGTAAGTGAAATTCATACATATCCTCAATGTTTCTTTGAATATAAATGTACACATCATTTATCATGGGGACATTCTAAAAAACACCAGCACGCTCAAACATTTCTGGTTCGGGCACTGAGGTGAGAAATGGGCCAAATTTCTACCGGAATGAGTTGACGAATTCAGCTAGGAATTATAATCAATAAAAACGTGATCTATTTGAATTTCTGTTTATACAGGCGATGTACATAATAGAGCTTTGGTTCAAACTTTTATCCTTCACCTACATCTCTTCTTGAATATGCGGACAATATGATCCTAATATGCTATGTCTCTTTTAATAGAGGGTGCTTAGAACATACGCGTTTTCTCGTGTGATTTACTTGCGTGACGCACTATTCTGCATCGTTCTCACTCGCGCAGATTTTCCAGAACAAAAGGTCATCTAGTATTTCACACACCCTATGGCTATCTGGAGAGGAATGTTCATGTCTCGTTCAGATAGATCTGAATTATGTTAAAGACTTCAGTGGTATTTCGTCCCTTCGGCGTTGCCGTGCCTCTCTTTTTTTAGCCTTTTGTTCAGCTCTTTCTTTCATCGCTTGTTTTCTGAAAGAGATACAAGTAATTCATATGAATGTTCCTATTATTTTCATCTTCTGTCGTAGTCTCCCAGATATTTAACGGAAGTCACACGACACTGTTTCGTGAGCGTCACGCAATACCTTCAAAATCCATTTGCAACATAACAAGGGCCAAAAGGAGCTTTTTCTTTCAGCCATGATCACTGTTAAAGTTCTCTTAAAAGTTTTGATGCACTGTTGGGTAGAGTGGAAGTGACTATTAAATATTATTATTATTATTATTATTATTGCCTTGATGTTACAACAACTTCTCAGGAAATGCTCACAAAGGAATAATGTTTCATCGTTAGTTAGGAGAATTACCTTAAGATCTAGGAAGTGACAGGGTTTATAAGTTATGAGTCTTTCAAAATTGGTTTTAAAACGGACCCTATTCGTAGACCTTCCCTGTGATGGTAAGAAGTCTAAGGAACGTCCTTTTGGGTGTCTCTCCTCTGGCCTTTCATGCAATCATTCAGACTAAACGAATGTGTAAGCTTTCTTTCCTTTTTTTTTCTTCAGAATGAAAATTTTACCTTATCTCCTCATCACTTGCAATAGGTTCTGATTGAGCACCTCCAAAACATGACCCAGTGCAACATGTTGTGGCAGTAAATAGATTGCCAGGATCTTTTCCGATGTACTGATTTCGATAAAAATATCCTTGTTTCCTATGGCATCGAAAAAATACGAAGAGGTAAACGTGAGAATTTATATAGTGACCTGGATCCGAGAGGGGAGTACAAAAACAATTGAATTATCGGTTCTTTACGCGCTAACATCAAGGGTACTTTTTATACATTACGCCGCTTTTGTGGTAACATTTTCATGCGAAAAGATCTGTTGGCCACTTTTTTGGTATTTGATAGAGATTACTTTCCTGGAAGATCATCAACCGATGTGTCAGAGAAGTGTTAATTCAACGATGTACAGGGACCTGAAGTGTTATCACAAATCACGCTTGTAACTGTCTCTTTGAATGAAAAATTAAATTAAATTTAAAAAACTATATTTGAACCATCTTCTACGCAGTTTCCTCAGTAGTTTCTGATTTATTTACGTTTTCGGGGGTGACTAGGAGCCCTGTCCCTATTTTATGCAAAGAGAACTGAAAACTTGTTCCACGACAGAAGGGTGCAAAACCACACCCTGGTTAGCGACGCGTCCAGGTGAGAGCGTTTAAAGGCTGGAGGCACCCTCCCCTTCCCACGCCTTGAGCCACCCTCACGCCTTTCTGACTTTTCAGTCACGTGATCTCATTTAAATTAGCCACCATATTGGTGCACATCACTTACCTGTAAACGTATGACCACGAGTTGTTTATTATAAAAAAAAATTAAAAAAGAAAAAAGGTTTAATGCGCGATTTTTGGCGGTGGGACCCGAAGTTGCTGTGATAAAGGAATTAATATGACAAGAATACCTTCAATTAGTAGAGGAGAAAAAGTACGGAAACGTTCCGAGGAGAGGCGAAACAAATGGATTTCTGTGATCAGCAGGGAAGATCTCACTGTACAGACAACATTTTCAGTCAAGGCTGCGTCTGTGGTAAACATTTTATCTCTGGAAAAGTGGCTAAACTGTGGGATCGTTACGATCCAGATTGAGTTCCGACCCAAAATCTAGGTCATCAGAAAGTTGCAACCTTGCGAGACGAGAGAGCCAGAGGTCGTGAGCTGAAACGTGTTCCAGGAGAACGTGAAAGACACCATCGGGATAAATTAAAGTCCAAAAAACAAAAACTTGATGAACCTGGAGAAAAGGTTATCGACAGTTCCTTCGATATCGAATCAGCAGTGCGCACCAAGCTCAGCAATAGAGGCTTTCTTTCGCATTTGCTGAGGTCAAAATAAAAGTTTTCCATTTCCGCTTCCGTCAGCGCTGGCACTTCCGGTTTCTTAACGGGACTTTTGGTGAAACAGAAGACTTCCGAGCTCTAAGAAACCTGAAGTCCCTCAATGAGATTCTCTATCTTTTCATCAAGGTCGTCTTTCATTTTCTTAGCGGATTTAAAGTTAATATCGCGGACACGAGAGTATTCCACCTTGTTTGCGAAACTGGGAAGTATCCAAGGCACTTAATTTGCATACAAGAAAGCCTTCCATTGACCTTTGTCCAAGCCTCAAGGTAAAATAGCACCCTAGCTATGTGCGAACATGATTCAGCAAGGCCTACCTTACATCCCAAACAATGAGCGCAGTTTATTGTTCCACCCATCGCGGTATTGAATCAAGGTATCGTTCTGCTGCTAGTGTCGCACTTTTGCCAACACCACGAACTTGTTTCCGATGATATGTCCTTGAACGTTGCAAACAAAGCGCGACACCATTTGATTGTAAGCCTCGAGACTGCGGAAGTCTTTAAGTTGTTTTTGCGCATAATAGCTAGTCTCGAGAACCAAATAGCAGTGCAAGTCAGTCGATTCCACCGGCGGTAACCAATCAGGCTCGAAGCGTTTCCAATCTATCAAAACAGGATCGATTCCGATAGTCGAGATCTTCTTTAGATAACGTTCTCTAACTTTTACATCCAGTTTTTTTAAACGTGATCAGACAATGGAATTTGGACGACATGGTCTGGATCAGAAGAAGGAATAGCAATTTTTTCGGCAGACGCCATACATTTAAATTTTTTCGATTGTAAACTGGACGGAACGATAAATTTGGACCGTGTTTCCATGTAATAATGAATGAAACATGACACTAAGATGGGCACCAACATGGCGGAAATTAATTCTGCGACGTCACGTAAAAATGATCTATGAGGAAATGCTTGAGAAAGACATGCTAGACAGGGAGATTACGCACTTTTTTGTGTTTCAGTTTCGACCCGTTTTAAAGAATGTAAAGTGTACCGTATTTACCCGTGTATAATGCGCACTTTTTTTCCATAAAAACAAGCATCAAAATCGCGGTGCGTATTATACACGGATTCTATTGTTTGTCAAGCACGTCCTAATTTGCATACGTTAAAAACGCAACAAAGAAAGTAAAAGTGCACGGATCGATGGCCTGGGGAGGAGAAAGAGCTTGCTTGTTTACGACTCATTTGAAGCTCACATAACAGATACTGTGAACACTTCCTTCAAACGCGAACTTCCCTTCTCCAGTCGCTCGATGTATCTTTGAACAAACCATTTAGAGATGGAGTCCGAAAGGAGTGGATGGCTGATGGAATTCACGAACTTACTGGACGACAAAAAAAGGCTTCGGAGGAACTGATCTGTTCGTATATTTCACAAGCGTAGGAAGGCATTCCATCAGAAATGATCGCTGCCTCTCTCTGAAGTGTGGGATCACAAACAATTCGAATGGATCACAAGATGAATTGGTTTACAATTCAACTGAGATCACTGATGAACTTGAGGATTCAGTCATCGAAAACCTATTCGAATCGGACTGTGAGTCGGTTTAAAGACACTGAACATTTTACTTAAATCACGCAATTGCAATGCAGTAATTATATTCAAGCTACCAGCAGTACTGTGTGTAGAAATAATGTTTATGAACGGCTGTTATGATAATAATTCAAGTTGTGAATTTAGGTATATTAGTAAGGACTTCAAGTTACAACATTTATAAAACGTTTGACTGTTACTGAATAGAAAAGCTTGTAAATAGGTGCTCGGTGCGTTCGATATTTGTAGTAGCAACTAGTTAGAAATTGTTGTAAACATATTATTGATGAATTCCCAGCTCTTGTTAATTAAGTGAAAGAATGGAAGTTTTAATTCTTGGTATTTGTCATGAAATCTTTTTTTTCGGAAAAAAGAGGTCAAAAATTAGGGTGCGTATTATACACAGGCGCGCATTATACACGGGTAAATACGGTAAGTGATTTCGAAGTATCACAAATTCTACATTGAATACTTTGGTTTTGGAATATTTAATTTGGTTCGGGAGCTGTGAAGAAGCGTGTGGGGTTTTTGTAATAGACAATTGCATGGCATTGTTCACGTGACTTGTGGCATCTTGATTGCTACCTCGTTTGAGTAAACATGTTCGCTCATATCATATTATATTTGGAAAGAATCAAGTTCAGCGACACTACTCTCACTTCTCCGTTAGCGTGTGTATAAACTCCATGACCGTGCATTTGATTCAATTTCCATTGCCCTTTGTATATATCGCCATTTTCGTAGAGATTTGTTCCTTCTCCGTGTTTGAAACAAAGCAAAGTCCCACCATCGTAGCGCACAATGTCTTCAAAATCTTCTCGTTCCACTGAAATACACAGCCCCATTTTGAAATCGTCGATTTTGTCTGTTGGTTCAAATGCGGCCTTCGACCAACTAAATACTTGCCAATGTAGTAGATCTAATACTTGGGATGATCGCGTGACCAACGCGTTACATGGCCTTCCAACCCTCTAAATATGGGTTTTCATAATCACGATGCAATGACGAGTTGTTCACGATCTACACTGGGTTGGTCATTGTTTTTTAGCTCATTCATACTGAAAGCAATGAATGAGGTATTGTGGTGAAGCAGATGTTGACGGAAGTTGTCAACCGTGAACGGAAGTAGTCTCGCATGCTACCCCTCCCCACTTAGTGAAAGTCAAAATTAGAAAAATTAGCTCAGAAATTCACGTGGAAAGAAATAGTATGTTTGTATGGTTTAATAAAAATAATAACCTCAAATCACATTTCCGAACTTCCAAGAATGCTTAGAATTAGATCTCCCACCGGGAACCTTAATCAAGGAGAAAAGTACGTAAGTGAAATTCCTACATATCCCTAATGTTTTCGAGAATATAAATGTACGCATCATTTTTCATGAGGACATTCTAATTAACAAATAGAGAAGCCTTGACTGTGCTCTGTTCTGTTATAAAGCACGAATGAAGCGGCTAGAGCACGAAAGAAGTGCAGGGAGAAACACTCGACTACGTCTCGTGTTTCTCCCCACTTCTTGAGTGCTCTAGCCGCTTCCTAAGTGCTTTATAACAGAACAGAGCACAGTCAAGGCTTCTCTATTTGTTTTAAAATAAAGAATCCGTCAAATTCCCCATGCATTACTTTCAATTTTCAAAACAAACTTTATTTCCAAAGCGAACAACAATGTCGTCAGCATGCTCTATTTAACAAATAGAGAAGCCTTGACTGTGCTCTGTTCTGTTATAAAGCACGCAGGAAGCGGCTAGAGCACGAAAGAAGTGTAGGGAGAAACACGAGACGTAGTCGAGTGTTTCTTCCCACTTCTTGAGTGCTCTAGCCGCTTCCTGCGTGCTTTATAACAGAACAGAGCACAGTCAAGGCTTCTCTATTTGTTTTATAATAAAGGATCCGTTAAAGTACCCAAGCATTACTTTCAATTTCCAAAACAAACTTTATTTCCAAAGCGAACAACAGTGTCGTCAGCATGCTCTATACTCTCATAAAGCACGCTACAATAAGCCAATCAGAATCCCTGTTAGAATGGTTCAAATACTCTGATTGGCTGTACAAGACTAAAGCTGTCAAAAGTGTCAAACCATCAAAGTTCAAAACCATCAAAGTTCACATTCTACGATAGTTTACAAACTAAAATAGTTCGGCAAGTCAAATTTAACACTTTTGCTTGAAGTTTTTAAGTCTGTAATACAGAATCTTGAAGTGAAATGTTCAGTGAACTTCAGCCGAATTATGGCTCATAAAAACACGTGAGTTTTTTCACATGACAAGGTAGAAAACAAACTGTTCAAGGCGAGTGTTTTTTGAATGAACGACAGCCGAATTCACCGGAACATGAAGATCGCTCGGGATGGCAGCGCCGCAAAACTCGGTTGCAGTGACTGATGTGACTTTCCACTCAACGCATCGGAAAGGATATCAGAGCAAGCTCTTACTTTTTCACTCGAAGGCCGGCCGATGTAGTTTCTGAGGCTTGTTTTACCGTGATGACCGGAGATCGCCATGATGAGCGAGCCGCGATCAACTTCAGTATGATCATATTCCCTCAGACACCGTCATGATTAGTATGAATTTTAACAGTTATGCCAGTTTGGTTATATTTTTCATCATTTCTGTTTTATTCTGTTTTGTTCTGTTTTGTTTTTGAACACTGAACTTTATATACTATACGAGTGTTAGCTGTGTTTGATTTTTATTACCGTACGTAAGCTTGCAATTCAACTGAGCGTGAAAATCTTTAAAACTCGGAATGTCTATTTTGTTTTTCCTTTTAATAACGTAAATTACGGCGCCTGGTTTGTTTACAAACCTTTGTTTGGTTGTTCTGTTGCTACTTGCTGGCTCGCTTGTTCCGAAATTTCAGTTTCAATTATCGGAAAAAAGCTAAAAAGAAGTCACGGAAAAGGTTGAACATATTACAATTTGGCAGATAGCGTGACAGCTTTGGCTCAGCTCTATGCTCTATACTCTCATAGAGCACGCTCTTTTAACCAATGACAGCGCGCGTTATATCCGAACTTTATTATAAAAAACACTAGCACGCTCAAAAATTTCTGGTTGGCGCACTGAGGTGAGAAATGGGCCAAATTTCTACCAGAATGAGTCAACGAATTCAGCCAGGAATTATAATCAATAAAAACGTGATCTAATTGAATTTCTGTTTATACAGGCGATGTACGCAATAGAGCTTTGGCTCCAACTTTTATCCTTCACCTACATCTCTCCTTTAATATGCTATGTCTCTTTCAACAGAGGGTGCCAGGAACATACGCGTTTTCTCGCGTGATTTACTTGCGTGACGCCCTATTCTGCATCGTTCGCACTCACGCAGATTTTCCAGAACAAAAGGTCATCCTGTATTTTACACACCCTATGGCTATCTGGAGAGGAGTGTTCATATCTCTTGTATGGACGTTCAGATAGATCTGAATTATGTTAAATGCTTCTGTCGTATTTCGCCCCTTCGGCGTTGCCGTGCCTCTCTTTCTTTAGCCTTCTGTTCGGCTTTTTCTTTCATCGCTTGTTTACTGAAAGAGATAAATAATAATTCATGCGAATGTTTCAATTATTTTCATCTTCGGTCGTAGTCTCCCAGATATTTAACGGAAGTCACACGACACTATTTCGTGAGCGCCACGCAACACCATCAAAAAATCATTTGCAACAATTTGCAACATAACTGAGGCCAAGAGGAAGTCACACGACATTATTTCGCGGACGTCACGCAACACCATCAAAAAGTCATTTGCAACATGACTGAGGCCAATAGGTGCTTTTTTTTTCCCCAATAACGATCACTGTAAAAGTTCTCTTAAAAGTTTTGATGCACTTTTGGGCAGAGTGGAAGTGACAATTAAAGATTATTATTATGCTCATATATTATTATGCTCACAAAGGAATAATGTTTCATCATTAGCTAGGAGAATTACCTTAAGTTCTTGGAAGTGAAAGGGTTTACAACTTATGAATCTGTCACAATTGGCCTCAAAACGGACCCTATTCGTAGACCTTCCCTGTGATGGGAAGAAGTCTAAGGAACGTCCTTTTGGGTGTCTCTCCTTAGGTATTCACGCAATCATTCAGACTAAACGAATGTGTAAGCTTTCTTTTTTTTTTTCTTCAGAATGAAAATTTTACCTTATCTCCTCATCACTTGCAATAGGTGCTGGTTGAGCAGGTCCAAAACATAACCCAGTGCAACATGTTGTAGCAGCAAATAAATTTCCAGGATCTCTTCCGATGTACTTATTTTGATAAAAATATCCTTGTTTTCTATGACATCAAAATAATACGAAGAGTTACACGTGAGAATTTATATGATGACCTTGATCAGAGAGTACAGTACAAAAACATCTGAATTATCAGTTCTTTACGCGCCAATATCAAGGGTACTTTTTATACATTACGCCGCTTTTGTGGTAACATTTTCATGAAAAAAGATCTGTTGGCCACTTTTTTGGTAATTGATAGAAATTACTTTCTTGGAAGATCATCAACCGATGTGTCGGAGAAGTGTTAATAAATCGACGTACATGAATGATCATTGTAAAAATTCTATCCAAAGTTTTGATGCACTGTTGGGCAGAGTGGAAGTGACAATTAAAGATTATTATTATTATTGTCTTGATGAGGTGTCATCACAGATCACAGATCTGAAGTGTCATCACAGATCACAGATCTGAAGTGTCATCACAGACCACGCTTGCGATTGTCTTTTTAAATGAAGAAATAAAATAAATGAATTTAAAAAAAACAATATTTGAACCATCTTTTACGCAGTTTCCTCAGTGGTGTCCAATATTTTTACGTTTTCGGAGGTCCTGAAAAGTGCTTTTGATCAAGCAAATACTTGTCAATGTAGCAAATCTTCTACTTGCGATGATTGCGTGACCTACGCGTCAGTTATATAGCATCCACCTTCTAAATAGGGGTTTTAAATAATCACGATGCAATCACGAGTTCTTCACGATGTACACTGGGTTGCTCATTGTTTTTTTTAAAGAATAAACTGTCACAGACTACTACACAGTTCTTTAATGGATTAAAAGCACAAAGCAAAAAGGCTACAAAGAATTGCGCTTATAAGTTTATGTTCCTATTTTTTCAACATTTGAAACTTGATAATGACCGTAGAACGGTTGTCACGTCGTTCTAAAAAATTTTTACCGCTTCTTTTTGCTGTTAAATAGAAAATTTACGCCGAGAAAAAGCAATCGAAAAGAAAGAGTTACAAGGTGGCGTATGTGATCTTCTTACCTTTGGGTTTCAATAGTTTTGAAATTGTAAACCTATTTTTATTTCTCGGAGGAAATTACAGCAAAAAGATCACCAGGTCTTCAACTCATGCGCCGATCAATTCGAAGCTTCAACATCTCTCCCCTGGGAACCCACAGGCATTTGACCGTCATCCGTGCCCGGCGGGTTAGGAATTTTCAACTGAGCCTGACTGGGGCGGCGTTTTAGAACCATAAGAGTCAAGTCGGCTTTCCAGCAGAATACAAGTGTTATATCCTTAAATACGGAGGAGTTTAAGGTAAATAATTTGCGTTCGCGAGCGAATGGTTCAGAAGAAAAGGTCTACAAGTTTTGGGATTTTTAAAAAGCTTGGTCAATGTGTGGGAAGTCACGTTCGCTGATTTTGCTTTTCACAACAAGTAAAAGAAAAGCAAACTCCAATTTGTTTATAGATTCAAATTTGTTTTGACGAACTGTTTTTGAGAGGTTTCACATCCACATATTCTCGTTCTCTCTGAGCAATAAAGGAATATCCAGCAATAGCCATATGCATGAAATCATTTTGTGCTAGCTCGGTCACTTTCGTACACGCTTCTTGTTAGCGAAACTAGGATGCGTAGACTGGGGTAGCAAAATCATTAACTAAGCGAAATGGATTCATCACTGGCACGCTACAGTTAACAAGAGGTTCTGCATGAAGACAATGGGCAGTCTACCCGTTTGAAAATGAAATGGAATTCTATAACTACAACAGAAAGATAGCTCGAAATTGGAATGCTCCGTTTCACTCTTCTTTGCTGTGCCATTAACTCTTACACTTACAAAACTAACGTTAATTGAGATTAAAAATCGTCTAGGCGCCATGAAATGAAAGAATGAAACATCTGCCCCAACATTATCGCCCATCAAATGTTTAATCAAAGTCTAGATTCATTACTAAAAAAACAGCATATGTAACCTTACTCACACTTCTCCATTTGCATGTCTGTAAATGCCATATCCGTGTAAGTTATTCCATCTCCATTGTCCATCGTACGTGTCACCATTGCTGTAGTGATACGTTCCTTCGCCATGCCGAAAGCAAAGAAAGGTGTCTCCATCGTAGGGATTTATCATTTCGTAGTCTTTTGGTTCACCAGAAGCACATAGACCCATCTACGAGCGGTAAAAGTTCGGTTAGGAACTGTGTGTTGATATTGTGAGCTGATCATAAACAAATTCAGATCTCATGTGAAAAACGAGAACAACATCGCGTGATTTCAAACTTGCGTGACCTCAAAGAGCCCGTTTCCAGGTCCCTTTTAGAGAAGGAAAAACATTGAAATTAACTCGCAAACACAATATCTTCGTTGAACTTCTCGTTGTTCACTTCAACAGATTGAAAATCCTTCCTAACTTAACATAAATGTTGATTGACAGTTTTTGTGAAAATGAAGATGAACAGGTTTTCTTTAGACCCTGGCGAAAGTTTGTCTTTTCCAACCAAGATATCGGGGATATATAAAAATATATATATGTATTTTTTTCTTGTTTAGTTCAATCTTTATCTCGCCTTCCTGGCGTGAGGATCAGTTTCCCCGACAACGCGTTCTCTGTTATTTCTATGCCCCCTAGAGTGTATGTCGTCGTAAACAGTATTCTAATTTTTGTGTTATTTAAATCAGTAAGCGGTCACTGATCACATCCATATTGATTTCTTATTATTGCGAGAAAAATGGGAGGATTGAAAATCTGCTCCTGAGGAGAAACTGGAATGCTGAATATAAAGAGGATACTGCAGTGATAAGAACTTTTAAATTGTTAAATAACATCGCAAAAATGGTGGCCCTCTTAATAACTGAAACAACACTTTAAGAAACCAAATGAAATTCCAAAATCAAATCATGCGATAAATGGACTAAACTGAGTCATTGTAAAATTTCCTACAAATTGCATTTATGAGCACCATCGACCAAAGAAAAAGACAGCCTGTAATTGCCTTCCTCAGAGTTAAAAGAAGCGTTCATTAGAAAGTGTCGAACAAACGGACGGCTAACGAAGTCGTACTGAATCGAAGCGATCTGGTAAGCCCACAGCTACGGATGACTAGAAAATGATTCTCAAGCCGGGTCCAAAGTCTTAATCCTGGTTTCGATTTCTTTTCTAGTACTGGTACCAGCGGATTTTTCATTGGACCACTGAAAACCTCTTTTAACAAATCAGATATGATTGGAATATTTGGTCGTTCTCGAAATTTCATGGGAAGCAGACATGTAAATATTTAACAGATATTTGAGGAAGGGTCAACCACGGATTTGAAATTCTAATTAACAGCTGGAAAGAATTATTTGCTATCAGTCTCAATCTATAAACATTACTGCCATCTTGTCTCATTTTAATTTCATTGGCTGAAAAAGATATGAAGAGATGCTATGGCTTGACAGGAAAAAACGGGAAAAAAACGAAGAGACTGTCGCTATCAATTAGAGAAGAAATACGCCACGGTACGACGTCAAGCGAGAAAATACTACAAATATCCAAATTTACAATAGAATATCTTCATATTTGATAAAATCATCTTACACGTTAACGTTTTAGCTTTGTAAATTAATTCCACTGCACGTGGTTTCAATGCTTTCAATTTCAAAACTCACCAGGGTGAACTGTAGTGAAGATATAAACTAAACAGTATGCCACATAGACAACTTCGGTCTACACACTCATCCTTACGACAACGACTTCAAAGCGTTTTAAACTTCTTCGTAAATGTTCGTTTCACTAGACAATAGAAAATAGCTTCGAACTTTGGTAACTTTTGACTAAAAGAGACTCCAGCCACGCTGGACTGAGAAGAACGCCGGTGTACTAATGAATGAATGGGCGCGATCTCAATGTTTTGATGATCAAGACATGCTCACGCGCATCAATTGCGCGGGAAAAAGATGATGCAATATGCCACTCACACCTTATTCACATGTTGTGAGGGGGTCGAACCGACCTCCTTCGCAAAAATAGTCCCTTTCCTCGATGTTAAGTTTAAAATTGGCGACTTTATTTCCGATCTTAAGGTTATTTCTTTCTTCTTTTATTCTTTCCTTCTTTTTCCTTTTTTTCTGCGACGCCTTGTGCAGCTGAAACATTGGGATAAAAGGAAGCAGTTAATATTCGACTAGTCATTTCAGATTCGATCCAATACGCGTATGTTGTGAAAATTTCGTTTTTTAGCTAGTGTTCCTGTCACTTTCAGAATCAAAACTCGAGGTATTGAATTATGATTTTGTATTTCGCAACTTCAACGGGAACATCGCTAAAAGCGTCACCCAGGGTATCTTCACTCGATCATTGCTTATACAACTGCTGTCAGATTGCACACTCTAATTTAAAATGTACGACGAATTTTTACAGCGCTTTAGCAATACTGCCTCCTTTAGACCCAGACAGAGTTTTTTTTCTGATCATTGATGAATGAAGAATGAAACCGTTTCAAAAATGCGAAAATGATAAGAGAGGCGCGCTTAGCAAATACGTCAACCAAGTCTTGTGACTCGTTATATTGACCAACTATACCACGTTGCTCTTAGAAACGATGAATAACATTTGATCGTTTCCAAGCGGAAAAGAATCCTTATCACCGGAACACTTAAAAGCTTCAACTGCACCTGTAAAGGTGACATGTTTCAGTTCGTTTTTCATTCCTTTAAGCTGGTCTCTGCATGAGTTGAAGTTTTCCCAAAAAAGATACACTGTGTACTTACTGCGGTAGTAAGACACGCTTTCACTCATTTCCTGATCGAACAAAAAAATAAACATCTTTGAATTTTTTTATTCCCTCTTAACACGCTTGATTTGCATCAGCTCGGAGGAATTCAAACTGCGACAAAATTTAATTGAATTTCTAGTGAATAATTTACGAGGGGAAGTCAAGTAGGATATTTCATCCTTTTTTTGAGCATGAGACGACTCCAGCGAATGGTTAAAACGTCTATTTGTTTACACACACTAAAAAGTATGTCAGTTATTCTTTCACTAAATCTGATAGTTTCATTGAGGACCTTTAGCTTCAGCCGTCAGCATGAATATTTATGTTTATTTTTCGACCTTTTTTACCAACTCGGTATTTTTAGCTCACTTAAGGTGCTAGTCTCGTCGAATTTGATATATTTTTGTTTTGAAATAAACCAATGGTCGGACTGAAATAGAATTCCACTTTATATGCACGTCATTTTACAAACAAACTTCGTTAAATTTCAACTATTTGCGTGTAACTACCTCCAAGCATTTTCCCTTAGTTTATGGCCGGCTGGCTTCACAGCCGGAATGAAAACACAAGCTACCTTAATCCTGATTTTCTGTTCTGCACTGAGCTTATTATTATTTTCCCCTTTAGTGAACTATGTAGCATAGACATATTAACATGTCACGTTAACTTGATGATTCAAACAGAACAGAACTTATTGAGGACAAAACAGTATCCCGATAAAATTCATAAATTCAGTCAAGATCGAAAGTGCAGTTTATGGAAATAAGTCAAGTCTCGACCCTGCTATCAATGTTTGTTATGTTTGGAATGATTACTATGCCAATTATCTCTCTGTGAAACTTTCGCAACCACAACATTACCCAAAAAGGCAAAAGCTTTCTATGTTGAGAAGCTAGGACGTAGCGTATTTATGTAGCAGTCAACTATTTGAGAATCTTCAAATCAGGAAAATAGCTGGAGAGCGTGAGGTAGCGAATGAAAAGGTCAGGGAAAAATCGATCTGGAAAAATCGATATCAGGGGTGCTCAGAAAAGGTGGAATCAACCCTCTATTGAATTTGATATATTTTTGTTTTGAAATAAACCAATGGTCGGACTGAAATAGAATTCCACTTTATATGCACGTCATTTTACAAACAAACTTCGTTAAATTTCAACTATTTGCGTGTAACTACCTCCAAGCATTTTCCCTTAGTTTATGGCCGGCTGGCTTCACAGCCGGAATGAAAACACAAGCTACCTTAATCCTGATTTTCTGTTCTGCACTGAGCTTATTATTATTTTCCCCTTTAGTGAACTATGTAGCATAGACATATTAACATGTCACGTTAACTTGATGATTCAAACAGAACAGAACTTATTGAGGACAAAACAGTATCCCGATAAAATTCATAAATTCAGTCAAGATCGAAAGTGCAGTTTATGGAAATAAGTCAAGTCTCGACCCTGCTATCAATGTTTGTTATGTTTGGAATGATTACTATGCGAATTATCTCTGTGAAACTTTCGCAACCACAACATTACCCAAAAAGGAAAAAAGCTTTCTATGTTGAGAAGCTAGGACGTAGCATATTTATGTAGCAGTCAACTATTTGAGAATCTTCAAATCAGGAAAATAGCTGGAGAGCGTGAGGTAGCGAATGAAAAGGTCATGGAAAAATCGATCTGGAAAAATCGATATCAGGGGTGCTCAGAAAAGGTGGAATCAACCCTCTATTGACATGGGAAAAATATAGCAATCTAAATAAAATGTGTAATGTTTAATCATTCTCCGCAAGTTCCTACGTCATATTCCGGCATAATTTCCCTTGATTGCCGTGTAATTATTTCTACCCCGATTTTGTTTTGGGGGAGTCGTTACGTTAGTGTTATGGCTGATTACGTCAACAAAGCCACTCAAGCTTACTCGTGCACAGACTTGACGTCGCTGTGTTTTCCGTCTTCTGAAGAGCTTTCTTTTGTGATTTTGGTGGCTACAGGAGGTTCATTTGATTCAATTGTTCGATATTTTATAGCAAGGGAATAAGCGTAGGTCGTAGGTCGCGGGATCCGGTAGAATTTTTAAACTTATTTAAAAAAAAACATTACTTAGTTATTTCAGTGGCTTTTTCATATCTTTTTTTTGAGCTCCCTTCCGGAGCTCAAATTATGAAGAATGTTTCGATGGTAGCTTTTAGCCGAGCTTAGCCTGATTGGCTTCTTATTTTTCTGCTTTTTTATGTTTTAGGGTTATCTTTTTAGCTTCACCAGCCAATGACACTGTCTCGGCGTTTGTCAATTTAAAGTCATGGTGGTCAGGCACAAGAGTCGACAAGAAAATCAAGAAATAAATGCATAGAGTTTAGCCTACGTGCAGCTGTACCCTCCCTCCCCCAAGGTGAAACGCTTCCGTTTCACCTGGGGGGGGGGGGGGGGGAGTACGGCTACACGTAGGCTACCAAGAGTTCTGTAGTAGAGCGTGTAGCCACAGCTGGTAGTGAACAGAATAGCTGCGGAGGAAGTGACTCTGTCTGTTGCGAACGAGAGACATTGATGTTCTAGAGTTGGCTGTGAACTACCGTACTTGTCAGTTTCTTGTTTTTTTTTTCCTCTCTTTTTGACACTTTTTCGAGTCAAAACAACAGGGAAATGAAGATGAAATCGGCCTGTCCCACTAACCCTTTTACTCCCAAGATCTGATTGTTAATTCTCCTCTCTAGCTTTTACACAATTCCAGGCAAATAAGTTAGGCGAATTTGGTTTTAGATCAAGATAACAACTTTTACCTGATAAGTTTGGGTATTCTCATTAGTCCTTTGCTGGATAATGTATAGATCTCATAGGGAGGGGTTTAATGTTTATCATTTCTGGGAGTTACAGGTTGAAATCGGCCAGTATTTAATGCATGTTAAATCACTTGCCAGATTCCGTTTTTATTTCTTCGGAGGCTGCTTTCTTCGTTCGCTTATCCTAGACCTCTCATCCTCTACTGAAAGAGAGCCTGGAAAAGGCTAAAATCAGGACAAATGGGTTCCTGCAAATAGGTAGAATATTGAGTCCTCTTGATGCGGGGACTGAGCCTAAGAGTCAAAAAGAGTTGTGCCTCATGTTGTTGTCATGCAAGACGAAGCTAGCCTTCCACAAGCTTCTTTTTTATCGTCAGTTTCGAGCGAAGTATACCATCACGTTTGTGCAAGTCGTTTATCTTCATTATGGTCCTATAATGAAAACCTGGTCATGTCTGAGAACATACCTTGGTTAAGGCATCAGGTGATAAAACACTCGTCTTTCGCATTGTGTTGAGGAGCTGGTATAGTAGAATGTTTACTGAGACGAAGCGGCTGATAATCCATAATTACGATAATCTGAGAAATACTACTTAATGAGGGAATTGCATCACCGTTTTTAATAAAGAAGTACTTATTTGAGAGCGGAAAGCAAAGAAATTACAACAGCCAATCAGAGCAAAGTAAATACCAAATGAGCCAATGAGAGAATAAAAGGGGCAAGTTTCTAAAGAAACTGTGGTGCTGCGTCGGTGGGAGAGTATAGCAGGTAATTTAGTCTTAACAACTGAACTATTGTACTCCAACGATTGCACTGATTGTTATCTTTTTGTTTCCAATTCTATCAGTTTGAAATCACGATTCCGCCCTTCTGCACGTGAAAGTTGTGCTAAACAGTGCCAGTATGCGCATCATAATCAAATATACCGGTGTACACTGGCAAGAATATCATGGTCTCTTGGGAGTTTAGAGAAGCTGACAAACTAAGCTAATCAAAATTTTACAGCGCATTGCGAACGATAAGGATGGAGGAAATATTATCAACAAATACAGGAAAATATCATTTTATCACCGCCCTTCATCTCACATAAGGCTGAGTGAAAAAGTAAACTCTTAATCAGTGAGAGATAGTCCTCAATACCAGCGGCTTAAGTGGTCAGACTCGACGGCATATGAATTAAATTTTTCAATTTTCAAACCTGCTGCTATAAGTAGAACTCCTCAACAGCTTAACTGCCTCGAGAAGGTTCCTTACGTACATCTGTTTGGGTTTTCAGGGTATGCGCTCGTGGCTGAGGAAGTCAGTGAGGCCCAAATACACCTAAACCAGCTTAAGGGTTGAGTCACTGCGGCGCCGAGCAGATGAAAAGTGCATTGATACCTGTAGGAACTAAAAAGCACATAACATAATAATGATTTAAGAACCCATTGGCGTACTTCAATTCTTGGAAAGGCTGGTATCTAGACCTTACACGGACATAGTGGAGCCACACAATAGAATTATTTAAGCCCTTTTCATGGTCTAAATAAGTCACTGAGAAAAATTATTACCATAGGCACAGTAACAAAAAGAAATTAAAAAAAAAGCAAGACAAGAGCATTTAGCCGAGTCGATGATGCAACACTTCTTAACTGGAATAATATAGATTCTTGCTTCTGCCAAAAAAAGCTGCAATGGTACACGTTATTAACTACTGTCATATTTCCACCTCTTATTCTTTACTCTGCGTCAACAAGACCAACAGTTTTCACATGTCGATCGTGGAATCGTCTCCTACACATGGCGAAACAAGATCCATCCAGTCATAAAACGCGTCAGAAAATAAACCACCCTTCTCTATTCTTTGTCAGAAATAGCCTCAAATTCAAATTTTTGAATGACACAGTCCCCACGTTGAATAATTGATCACAAATCGACAGATCAATGTCGGCGCTTACAACGGATAGTAAGAAGTAGACGTAAAAGTAGGCTGCCACCAGTGAAACGAAACGTGGTTTTCTTAACTTTCTGTTAAATTACTCGAGATTTTTTCGTAAGTAAAATTCAGGATTTAAGAAAATTAGAGTAAGAAATGCATTTGCTAGCATGATGGATTACGGCAATGCGACGACAAGGGCAATTTTTTGGCAGTTTTGCACTTTTATTGATCAGGGGAAAACACAGAGGAGAGGAGAGCAGCCTGAGAAGATTGAAATTTTGCTTTTAAACAACAAAGAATGAATAAACTCAGTGCACGACAGCAATTCCTCTTGAGATCAAGACGGGACTCAAATTATTGTATTTTGTTTATGGCGATATCTTCTGCTGTAAGTTTGAACAACATTAGTATCGCTTTCCCAAAACAATGAAATAAAGTGCTACCGTTTGAATTCGTGACAAAAAAAAACAACAACAACAACTTCAAAGTACATTACTTGTTTCTTTTCTTTAACCATAGAATTACAATAAATAGTGATTCGTCAAAATTGAGAAGAACACTTTAATGACACTTTAATTTAGCGCAAAAACTTCCAAGGAATAAAAAAGCCGTAATCTGTAACCTATATCAAAATCTTCAACCGTCAACCGTCGAGGGACCGCACCATTCCTGCCGTTCGACGATATCACGACTGACATCAAATTTAGACCATGTCCTTATACCTATCGTATAACTCATTAGGAGTTTTTTTCCTGCATATTTATGATCTCTCAAGTTAACGACATCTTATTCGATGATCTATGTTTAAAATCCTACAATTAAGCGGAAAAGTAAACGTTCCAATCGTATGAACGCAGATAATAACGCAACAAAAGTGCCGGATATGCTATCGTAATAATCCACTGAAAGAGAATACTAAACCGCGCGATGTACTAACGCAACAATCCATTGAAAGAGAATCCTAAAAGTGCGTGATATCCTACAATAATAATCCATTGAAAGAGAATTCTAAACTACGCGAGATGCTAAGGTAATAATCCAGTGAAAGAGAATCCTAAAAGTACATGACCTACATATATAGCAATCCAATGGGAGATAATCCTTAAATTACGGAACAAAATGAGAGAAAATTATAAAAGTGCGCAAGATGCTAACGTAACAATCAACTGAAAGAAAATCCTATGGCGCGTGAGATACTAACGTAACAATCAAATGAATGGGAATCCTTGAAGTGCACGACATACCTTTGTATCAATCCACTAAAAGAGAATACCATAAGTGCGGAATACTGACGTAACATTCAATGAAAGAGAATACTTAAAGTGCACGACATACATACGTTACAATCCAATGCAAGAGAATCCTAAAAGTGCGGGAGATGCCAATGTAACAATCTAATCAAGGAGAATTCTTAAAATAAACGAAAAATCAACGTAACAATTCAATGAAAGAGAATCTAAAAGCGTGCGAGATACTGAGGTAACAATCTGATCAGAGAGAATCCCAAAAATGCATGAGAAACTGATGCAACAAACAGTCGAAAGAGAATACTAAAATTACGCAAGATACAATCGTAATAATCCATTGAAAGAGAATACTAAACTGCGCCAGATCCTGACGTAACAATCCAATGAAAGAGAATCTCAAAAGTGCACGACATACAGACATAGCAATCCAATGGGAGATGCACGAGATACTAACGTAGCGATTCAATGAAAAAGAATCTTTAAATGCGTGTGATACAGACGTAAACGTAAAGAGAACCCTAAAAGTTCACGAGATACTAACAGAAAGTTCCATTTAAAGAGCATTCTTAATGTGGGCGAGATGCTACCGTAACAATTGAGTGGAAGTTAATCCTGAAGTGCGTGAGATCAAACATAATAATCAAATGACAGAGAATCCTAAAAGTGTGCCAGATACAAACGTATTAATCAAATAAAAAAGAATCCTAAAAGTGTGCAAGATACTAACGTAATAATCAACTGAAAGAGAATCCTAAAAGTGCGCGAGATACAAACGTAAAAGTCAATTGAAAGAAAATCCTAAAAGTGCGCAAGATACTAGCGTAATAATCAACTGAAAGAGAATCCTAAAAGTGCGCGAGATACAAAAGTAATAATCAAATGACAGAAAATCCTAAAAGTGCGCGAGATACAAACGTAATAATCAAATGAAAGAGAATCCTAAAAGTGCGCGAGATAAAAACGTAATAATCACATGACAGAGAAGCCTAAAGGTGCACGAGATACAAACGTAATAATCAAATGACAGACAATCCTAAAAGTGCGCAAGATACCAACTTAATAATCAAATGAGAAAAAAACCTAAAAGTGCGCGAAATACAAACGTAAAAATCGAATGACAGAGAATCCTAAAAGTGCACGAGGTACAAACGTAATAATCACATGACAGAGAAGCCTAAAGGTGCACGAGATACAAACGTAATAATCGAATGACAGACAATCCTAAAAGTGCGCAAGATACAGACGTAATAGTCAAATGAGAGAGACTCCTGAAAGTTCGCGAGACACAAACGTAATAATCGAAACGTAATAATCAAATGACAGAATCCTAAAAGTGCGCGAGATACAAAAGTAATAATCAAATGACAGAGAATCCTAAAAGTGCGCGAGATACAAACGTAATAATCAAATGAAAGAGAATCCTAAAAGTGCGCGAGATAAAAACGTAATAATCACATGACAGAGAAGCCTAAAGGTGCACGAGATACAAACGTAATAATCAAATGACTGAATCCTAAAAGTACGCGAGATACAAACGTAATAATCAAATGAAAAAGAATCCTAAAAGTGCGCGAGATACAAACATAATAATCAAATGACAGACAATCCTAAAAGTGCGCAAGATACAAAAACGTAATAGTCAAATGAGAGAGACTCCTGAAAGTTCGCGAGACACAAACGTAATAATCGAAACGTAATAATCAAATGACAGAATCCAAAAAGTGCGCGAGATACAAACGTAATAATCGTATGAAAAAGAATCCTAAAAGCGCGCGCGATACAAACGTACTAATCAAATGACTGAATCCTAAAAGTACGCGAGATACAAACGTAATAATCAAATGAAAAAGAATCCTAAAAGTGCGCGAGATACAAACATAATAATCAAATGACAGACAATCCTAAAAGTGCGCAAGATACAAACGTAATAGTCAAATGAGAGAGACTCCTAAAAGTGCGCGAGATACAAACGTAATAATCGAATGACAGAGAATCCTAAAAGTGCGCGAGATACAAACGTAATAATCGAATGACAGAAAATCCTAAAAGTGCGCGAGATACAAACTTAATAATCAACTGAAAAAGAATCCTAAAAGTGCGCGAAATACAAACGAAATAATCAAATGACAGACAATCCTTAAAGTGCGCGAGATACTAACGTAATAATCAACTGAAAGACAATCCTAAAAGTGCGTAAGATACAAACGTAATAGTCAAATGAGAGACTCCTAAAAGTGCACGAGATATAAACTTAATAATCGAATGACAGAGAATCTAAAAGTGAGCGAAATACAAACATAATAATCAAATGACAGAGAATCCTAAAAGTGCGCGAGATACAAACGTAATAATCAACTGAAAGAGAATCCTAAAAGTGCGCGTGATACAAACGTAATAATCAAATGAAAGAGAATCCTAAAAGTGCACGAGATACAAACGTAATAACCAGGTGAGAGAGAATCCTAAAAGTGCGTGAGATACAAACGTAATAATCAAATGAAAGAGAATCCTAAAAGTACGCGAGATACAAACGTAATAATCAACTGAAAGAGAATCCTAAAAGTGCGCGTGATACAAACGTAATAATCAAATGAAAGAGAATCCTAAAAGTGCACGAGATACAAACGTAATAACCAGGTGAGAGAGAATCCTAAAAAGTGCGCAAGATACAAACGTAATAATCAAATGAAAGAGAATCCTAAAAGTGCGCGAGATACAAACGTAATAATCAGCTGAAAGAGAATCCTAAAAAGTGCGGAAGATACAAACGTAATAATCAAATGAAAAATAATCCTAAAAGTGTGCGAGATACAATCGTAATGATCAATTGACAGAGAATCCTAAAAGTGCGCGAGATACAATCGTATAATCAAATGAAAGAGAATCCGAAAAGTGCGCGAGATTCTAACGTAATAATCAACTGAAAGAGAATCCTAAAAGTGCGCGAGATACAATCGTATAATCAAATGAAAGAGAATCCGAAAAGTGCGCGAGATACAAACGTAATGATCAACTGAAAGAGAATCCTAAAAGTGCGCGTGATACAAACGTAATAATCAAATGAAAGAGAATCCTAAAAGTGCGCGAGATACAAACGTAATAATCAGCTGAAAGAGAATCCTAAAAAGTGCGCAAGATACAAACGTAATAATCAAATGAAAAATAATCCTAAAAGTGCGAGAGATACAAGCGTAATAATCAATTGACAAAGAATCCTAAAAGTGCGCGAGATACAATTGTATAATCAAATGAAGCTAAAAAGAAGTCCCGGAAAAGATCGAACATAGTACAATTTGACAGATGGCGTGACAGCTTTAGCTCAGCTCTATGCTCTATACTCTCATAGAGCACGCTCTTTCAACCAATGACAGCACGCGTTATATCCGAACTTTATTATAAAAAACACTAGCACGCTCAAACATTTCTGGTTCGCACACTGAGGTGAGAAATGGGCCAAATTTCTACGCGAATGAGTCAACGAATTCAGCCAGGAATTATAATCAATAAAAACGTGATCTAATTGAATTTCTGTTTATACAGGCGATGTACGCAATAGAGCTTTGGCTCCAACTTTTATCCTTCACCTACATCTCTCCTTAAATATGCTATGTCTCTTTCAACAGAGGGTGCCAGGAACATACGCGTTTTCTCGCGTGATTTACTTGCGTGACGCCCTATTCTGCATCGTTCGCACTCACGCAGATTTTCCAGAACAAAAGGTCATCCTGTATTTTACACACCCTATGGCTATCTGGAGAGGAATGTTCATATCTCTTGTATGGACGTTCAGATAGATCTGAATTATGTTGAATACTTCTGTCGTATTTCGTCCCTTCGACGTTGCCGTGCCTCTCTTTCTTTAGCCTTTTGTTCAGCTTTTTCTTTCATCGCTTGTTTTCTGAAAGAGATAAATGATAATTCATGCGAATGTTTCAATTATTTTAATCTTCGGTCGTAGTCTCCCAGATATTTAACGGACGTCACACGACACTATTTCGTGAGCGCCACGCAACACCATCAAAAAAATCATTTGTAACAATTTGCAATATAACTGAGGCCAAGAGGAAGTCACACGACATTATTTCGTGGACGTCACGCAACACCATCAAAAAGTCATTTGCAACATAACTGAGGCCAAGAGGTGCTTTTTTTCCCCCAATAACGATCACTGTAAAAGTTCTCTTAAAAGTTTTGATGCACTTTTGGGCAGAGTGGAAGTGACAATTAAAGATTATTATTATTATTTTCTTGATGCTTCAACAAATTCTCAGGAAATGCTCACAAAGGAATAATGTTTCATCATTAGCTAGGAGAATTATCCTAAGTTCTTGGAAGTGAAAGGGTTTACAACTTATGAATCTGTCACAATTGGCCTCAAAACGGACCCTATTCGTAGACCTTCCCTGTGATGGGAAGAAGTCTAAGGAACGTCCTTTTGGGTGTCTCTCCTTAGGCATTCATGCAATCATTCAGACTAACTTTTTTTTCTTCAGAATGAAAATTTTACCTTATCTCCTCATCACTTGCAATAGGTTCTGATTGAGCACCTCCAAAACATGACCCAGTGCAACATGTTGTAGCAGCAAATAAATTTCCAGGATCTCTTCCGATGTACTCATTTTGATAAAAATATCCTTGTTTTCTATGACATCAAAATAATACGAAGAGGTAAACGTAAGAATTTATATGATGACCTTGATCAAAGAGGACAGTACAAAAACATCTGAATTATCAGTTCTTCACGCGCTAATATCAAGGGTACTTTTTATACATTACGCCGCTTTTGTGGTAACATTTTCATGAAAAAAGATCTGTTGGCCACTTTTTTGGTAATTGATAGAAATTACTTTCTTGGAAGATCATCAACCGATGTGTCGGAGAAGTGTTAATAAATCGACGTACATGAATGATCATTGTAAAAATTCTATCCAAAGTTTTGATGCACTGTTGGGCAGAGTGGAAGTGACAATTAAAGATTATTATTATTATTGTCTTGATGAGGTGTCATCACAGATCACAGATCTGAAGTGTCATCACAGATCACGCTTGCGATTGTCTTTTTAAATGAAGAAATAAAATAAATAAATTAAAAAAAAACAATATTTGAACCATCTTTTACGCAGTTTCCTCAGTGGTGTCCAATATTTTTACGTTTTCGGAGGTGACTCGGAGCATTGACCCTATTTTATGCTATGTGAACTGAAAACTTGTTCCACGACAGAAGGGTGCAAAACCATACCCTGGGTAGCAACGCGTCCAGGTGAGAGCGTTTAAGGTAGGAGGCACCTTCCCTCATAAGAGAAGAAAATGCCTGAGAAAAAACAGGAAGATTACGCAATTTAGAGTGTTTCAGTTTCGACGCGTTTTAAAGAAGGCTAAGTGTAGGTGATTTCGAAGCGTCTCAATATCTATATTGAAAACTTTGGCCTTGGAAAATTCAAATCGGATTGGGAGCTGTGAAGAAGCGTGTGAGGTTTTTGTAACAGATAATTGCATGGCATTGTTTACGTGACTTGTGGCATCTTGATTGCTACCTTGTTTGAGTAAACATGTTCGGTTATATCAATAAACTATCACTGGTTTTGGAGATAATCAATTTAAGCTACTGTACTCACACTCCTCCGTTAGCGTGTGTATAAACTCCATGACCGTGCATTTGATTCAATTTCCATTGCCCTTTGTATATATCGCCATTTTCGTAAAGATTTGTTCCTTCTCCGTGTTTGAAACAAAGCAAAGTCCCACCATCGTAGCGTACAATGTCTTCATAATCTTTTCGTTTCACTGAAATACATAGCCCCATTTTGAAATCGTCGATTTTGTCTGTTGGTTCAAATGTGCTTTCGATCAAGCAAATACTTGTCAATGTAGCAAATCTTCTACTTGCGATGATTGCGTGACCTACGCGTCAGTTATATAGCATCCACCTTCTAAATAGGGGTTTAAAATAATCACGATGCAATCACGAGTTCTTCACGATGTACACTGGGTTGCTCATTGTTTTTTTAAAGAATAAACTGTTACAGACTACTAAACAGTTCTTTAATGGATTAAAAGCACAAAGCAAAAGGCTACAAAGAATTGCGCTTATAAGTTTATGTTCCTATTTTTTCAACATTTGAAACTTGATAATGACCGTAGAACGGTTGTCACGTCGTTCTAAAAAATTTTTACGGCTTCTTTTTGCTGTTAAATAGAAAATTTACGCCGAGAAAAAGCAATCGAAAAGAAAGAGTTACAAGGTGGCGTATGTGATCTTCTTACCTTTGGGTTTCAATAGTTTTGATATTGTAAACCTATTTTTATTTCTCGGAGGAAATTACAGCAAAAAGCTCACCAGGTCTTCAACTCATGCGCCGATCAATTCGAAGCTTCAACATCTCTCCCCTGGGAACCCACAGGCATTTGACCGTCATCCGTGCCCGGCGGGTTAGGAATTTTCAACTGAGCCTGACTGGGGTGGCGTTTTAGAACCATAAGAGTCAAGTCTTTCCAGCAGAATACAAGTGTTATATCCTTAAATACGGAGGAGTTTAAGGTACATAATTTGCGTTAGCGAGCGAATGGTTCAGAAGAAAAGGTCTACAAGTTTTGGGATTTAAAGCTTGGTCAATGTGTGGGAAGTCACGTTCGCTGATTTTGCTTTTCACAACAAGTAAAAGAAAAGCAAACTCCAATTTGTTTATAGATTAAAATTTGCTTTGACGAACTGTTTTTGAGAGGTTTCACATCCACATATTCTCGTTCTCTCTGAGCAAAAATTTGAATTAAATTGAAAAGATTTTGTTGATAAGAGGAACAAAATTTTTAAGAAAGGAAGGCCTGGTTACCAGGCAAAAGGGGAAAAACGAAAGAAAGTGCATCGGTCTACCCACTAAAACTGGAGGTAACTGAGGTTTTATTGCCAAGCAAATAAATGAATATCCAGCAATAGCCATATGCATGAAGTCATTTTGTGCTAGCTCGGTCACTTTCGTACACGCTTCTTGTTAGCGAAACTAGGATGCGTAGACTGGGGTAGCAAAATCATTAACTAAGCGAAATGGATTAATCACGGGCACGCTACAGTTAACAAGAGGTTCTGCATGAAGACAACGGGCAGTCTACCCGTTTGATAATGAAATGGAATTCTATAAATACAACAGAAAGATAGCTCGAAATTGAAATGATCCGTTTCACTCTTCTTTGCTGTGCCATTAAATCTTACACATACAAAACTAACGTTAATTGAGATTAAAAATCGTCTAGGCGCCATGAAATGAAAGAATGAAACATCTGCCCCAAGATTATCGCCCATCAAATGTTTAATCAAAGTCTAGATTCATTACTAAAAAAACAGCATATGTAACCTTACTCACACTTCTCCATTTGCATGTGTGTAAAAGCCATGTCCGTGTAAGTTATTCCATCGCCATTGTCCCTTGTACGTGTCACCATTGCTGTAGTGATACGTTCCTTCGCCATGCCGAAAGCAAAGAAAGGTGTCTCCATCGTAGGGATTTATCGTTTCGTAGTTTTTTGGTTCACCAGAAGCACATAGACCCATCTACGAGCGGTAAAAGTTCGGTTCGGAACTGTGTGTTTATATTGTGAGCTGATCATAAACAAATTCAGATCACATGTGAAAAACGAGAACAACATCGCGTGATTTCAAACTTGCGTGACCTCAAAGAGCCCGTTTCCAGGTCCCTTTTAGAGAAGGAAAAACATTGAAATTAACTCGCAAACACAATATCTTCGTTGAACTTCTCGTTGTTCACTTCAACAAATTGAATATCTTTCCTAACTTAACATTTATGTTCATTGACAGTTTTTGTAAAAATGAAGATGAACAGGTTTTCTTTTAGACCCTGGCGAAAGTTTGTCTTTTCCAACCAAGATATCGGGGATATATCTAAGTATAGATATGTATTATTTTTTCTTGTTTAGTTCAATCTTTAACTCGCCTTCCTGGCGTGAGGATCAGTTTCCCCGTGTGACCTGCCTTCAGGGAATAACAACGCGTTATCTGTTATTTCTATGCCCCCTTGATAGCGAATTAACCGCAAATTATTCGGTTCCTTTTGCGTTTTTCAACCCTGTCATTTTATCGCCTAAGCGGAGTACACAAAGCGTTCATTTCGTAAAATTTTTATTCAAGTGAAGCAAACAGTAAAATAAACTTCATGTTTGCATTTTTTTTCCTTCTTCCGCCCCTCCTTTGAAAATGAATTTTTTTTTTCAAATCCTTTCCCATTTTCAAATGTTGAACTTCAAACAAATTGTTTTTGCAATGTAATAATGTTAATTTTGTTCTCCTCTCCCTGTGCAAATTCGTAGAACACAATGCTTATCGATCTTCTTAATTCTTGATTAACTGGCTAAGCGTGCAAACAAAACTGCACGACATACCAGCCGATAATTGGCTAGAGTTGTTAATCCATATTCATAAGATTTGAGTAATTTTCATCAAACGACGCTGCCTACCGGAAAGTCAAGAAGTGTCGTTCTAGCTGCTGAAGATAAATTTAGTGGATTAAAGAAGACGTTTGCTGCAAAGAAGAGCAAAGGAAAGCGGTTTTACCCTACTAAAACAGAAGGTGAACAGTCTTTTGAGAAAATATTGTGGAGAGAGCTGAGCGCAACATCTTATTCAAACGAATGAACACGTGTTGAGTGCTTAGTTTGAGCGGCTTTTCCATTAGAAAGTTTATTTAATAAAGGGTGTCGGCCTCAGCATTTAGAGAAACGAAGGTTGTAACCAACTGTGTCAGAAATTCATCGCTATCTTTCGGTCGAACGCTAAAATAAAGACGTAGGTAATGTTAGATTCACTGGCGGACGTCATTCTGTCGTCAACTCTTTACACCCTAACATCAGTATGCATATTCTCCATAATATTTTCCATAAATGTCCTAAGGTGCTGATAAGGAGAACTTGTTAACATTAAAGAGCTTCTTTAGTCGGTGATCATTTCCTTTATTCTCGCGACCTTAATGTTTGATTCAGAGCTGATCAATGATTGTATTGAGAAATTAGATGCTAGTCACTCTTAAGGGACTTAGGATTAAAAGCAGCCACGTGGAGTTTCAATACTTGTTCACTAAATCATTTCCCCTCAGAATCCTACACCTCAAAGATTATGACAAACTTATTTACCTCAAAGCTCCCTAGAGTGTATGTCGTCGTAAGCAGTATTCTAATTTTTGTACTATTTAAATCAGTAAGCGGTCACTGATCACATCCATATTGATTTCTTTTTTTTCCAGGATGAGGAATTATTGAGAGAAAAATGGAAGGATGGAAAATCTGCTCCAGAGGAGAAACTGGAATGCTGAAAATAAAGAGGATACTGCAGAGATAAGAACTTTTAAATTGTTAAACAACATCGCAAAAATGGTGGCTCTCTTAATAACCTTTTTTGTGAGAAGTCTCCATTTTTTCGCTAATTTCCAGGTTGGAGTATTCTTGGACTCTGAAATGATGGACTTAATTATTTGGTAAGTGAGTAGTTTGAAACGAGCCGCCAATCTTAAAATATTTGTTGCGATACGGATTGTTATGCAGACTTTTAGCGATCATATGGTTATTTTCACTGATAACTATAATTAAGAGCAACTTTCTCGAAGGAATTTATTGCATTGCATTGAACAAAACAGCTACGAATTTAACATCAGCATGAACATGGTTAAAGCTGAAAATAAAACTTGTTTCGTTAGTTAATCGCTCTGACGAAGGGCTCATGCTCAAAACGTATGCTTTAGAAACCCTTCAGTCGTGGTGACCAAGATTCATTTTGTTTTTCCTAACAATCCGTATCAGAGTTGTATCATAGCTGATGTGACAAAAATGTGATATTTGTTAAGGTGGCACTGAAACAACACTCTAAGAAACCAAATGAAATTTCAAAATCAAATCATGCGATAAATGGACTAAACTGAGTCATTGTAAAATTTCCTACAAATTGCATTTCTGAGCACCATCGACCAAAGAAAAAGACAAAACAAAACACGTGTACACTTGACGAGTACTTGCTCAATGATTAAACAACAGTTGCCACTATTTTCATTAACCGTTATTGAAGAATTGACTGACTGACGTAAGGCAGGTTCCAGGTTCCAGGTTCCTCTCTCGAGGGCGAGATGACAACACCTGCCAGAACCTTACAAATGACTTCATGACATTTAATTGACAAAACCAATAGACAAAATGGAAAAACAGAATAATATCGAAGGACACTGCTGAAGTTTCTCGTCCAGTAAAATCGCGGCAAAACTTGCCACTTAATTACGAACAAAACTTTAAATTTTATATTTATTCACAAAATTCCTGACTTGACCCTGTTGATGATTTTCGTCCACGTTGAAACGTCAAACTTTGACATACATTGGACATCAGCCCTTTTCAAGATGACTTTGACTTAACTGTCAATGAGACTGCACAAGCGACAAAGAAAGAAACTAAAAGCTTTCCAAATAGTTGTTCAATTAAAACCAGATTGATTTTATTTAAAGTTGTCCTCGACATGAACAAAAAAAAACAACGTACGAAAATTTTTATTAACAAAGATGCGAATTTGTTTGTTCCATAGGAATCAAATTAATCAGTTCAATGGCATCTTAAAACTCCATCTTCTTGCCATCAGCTATGGTTAGCTTCCGTTTGGAAGCTCTATGTTCAAACACAAATGCCTGATTACAAAATTTTTTTAAGTCCATTAATTTGACTTGTCATTAAATATCAACCAGTCGGTTAGGAAGAGACAGATTTTCACCGTTAGCCCTTTGACCCCTAAGAGGAACTGGCACCGAGTTTCTCCCTAAAATATCAGCCCTGAATAAAACATTAAGGTCATGAGAATAAAGGAAATGATCAGCAGCTTAAAAACTCTCAAATTTTAAAACAAATTCTTTTTTCAGACCCTTAAGAAATGTATAGAGAACAGTATGGAGAATATGCATAGTGATTTTAGGATGTAAAGGATTAAGGATGTTTTGTTTGAAAAATGGCCAGAAAACTTGGTCAAGATAAAAATGATGAAATATATATATATATATATACTCATAGGCAAGAAAGAGCAGGATTGTCTTAAGTTCAGTTTGCTATAAATTTTTCTAAAGAAAAATTACCAAATATTTCGAGACATCAAAGAAATATTTCGGCTGATTAAATTGATTTGAGTTATTACCGAAAAAATTAGATTTGCATCTTTCCAGCATACTTTATTAGACGGTATTAATGAATATTGAACATTTTTCACATATTGTTGAACAATAAATATCGAATTGGAAGAACAGCAGTGGAAACAAGGAGAGAAAATTAAATCACATACCCCGTTCACACCAAAGCTTAACATGTCTTAAAGCTGTTTTGTTAAACACGGTTGAATATTGTTTTCTTCCTAGCAGCTGCTTGATCTTTAACTTCCAAGATCTCATTAATAATTCTCCCTACTATCTGCTATGAAATAATTATGATTACAATTTGGAGAATTTGGTAGTGGATCAAATTGTAGTCCCCTGATTTAGTTT